AGGACCCTGAACTTGCCTGGCAAGCGCTTATTCTACTGAGCTATCTCCCTGGGCCCAAGGATATTCTTTTTAAAGGAGTGTTTGCGGACCTGCTCTTGGTTTTATAATGACACCTAGTTAACATCCTTATCTACTTTATTTTTTTTAAGTGTTGTGTTTTTTTTTTTTTTTTTTTTTTTTGTCCCTTTTTTTTTTTTTTGGTGGTACCGGAAATCAACTGTGGACCTTGCAGTGAGTCCGTATTTGCCAGTGTCCATTCCTCCTGTGCAATTGGTACGCGTTCACAGCACATTTCCATTCCTTGCCATCCCTGTCCTTCCCTCCCTCCCCACCCTCCATCTCATGAGCCCCTTCCTATTTGAGATTTCTGTCCCTCATTCCTACCATTACGTCTTATTTTGCTCTTATTTGTAATTCGGGCTCCTCACAGATAAACCAAGTGCAGAGCAACTGATAAAATTGGACCAGGGCAGGCAAATAGTTCGTGAATCCCCAGGCCTGCCTGCCGGCCCCGCCCCTGGGGCACGCTGAGACTGCGCATGGTGGCGGTCTGCAATCTCAGCGCCTGGGGGGCTGTGAACAGGAGAATCACTACGAGTCGGATCTAGTAGTGAGACCCTGAACACCCTGTAGATCCTTTCCTAAAATACTGAAAACAAACAAACAAACAAACAAACAAACAAATAAATAAATAAATTGGACCAGACCAGGCAAATGAAATCATCCAGGACAGAATAAACCCCAGAGCAGCAGAAGCTGCACAGACCTCGTCCGGAGGGAAGCGGCCTCCGCCCGCGGCTGCCCCGACCTGCGGCTCTCGCCCGCTTTACCTCCACGAGTTCGGGTCCCAGAGCCTCCTTTCCAGCCTCTCCTGGGGCGGCGCGGGGAAGCGGTGCCCTCAGTCCGGCTCTATCCGGCCCCGGGCCCCGTCCCTTTCATCCTGGGAACCGGGTGGGAGCGCATCCTGCCGCGGATCCGGCCAACCGAAGAGTGCGCGAGACCCGCCCCCGGCTCGGCGCCGCGCGGACCCGGAGCCGCCCTTCCCCCTCCAGCAGCGCCCCCTGCTCCCCTCCGCGTCTGGAGTCTGTCCCGGGCACGGTCTCCACCTTGGCCCTGCCAACCCCCTTGGGAGCTCCAACACCCACCCCCAGCAGAACTCCTTTCGCCCCAAGATTTAAAATGCTTTTCTTTTTACGAGCGTGCCTTTCCCGCACGGAGCGGTTACCCTCCTCGTGGGGACTGGCACAAGTTGGTGACCCCTTTCTGCCTTTTGCTTCCCCGTCCCTTCGCCTTCGGATCCCCTTCCTATCTGAGGAAGGACTGCCTCCTTGTCCTATTCTCCCGTTATTTTGCTCCTTATTTCTACTATGCGTTTCGCACAGAAGAAAAACCAGTGTCTCTGATTGCGCTTCGAGCTACTCCCCTTAACACTCCAGGCGCCCCCCACTTCCTACATCTGCCGCCCATTTACCCTTCTTTCTGGCAGAGTAGCTCTTCTTAGTCCAGGATTGACACATCCCCTCCGCCCCCCCCCCCCCCAGCTGTGTCCCCACCTCGGATCCCTCCCCGGCTAGTCGGGGCCACCGTGCACAGGTTGGTTTCGGCCCGGCCCGGCCGAACTCTGGAGCCCTCCCGCGTGGCCACGCCCTGCGCTCGCCCCGCCCGGGCCTCTCGGTGATCAGCGCCCTCCGCCGTCCTCCGTCCTCTGGGGGAAAGGACACATCCGCGGGGTCGCCGGCAGAGGCCGGAGCACCCGCCCTCTGGCTCGCTGTGCGCCCCTGGGGTCCGCGCCCCTGGACTGCGCGCCGCGCCATGGCGAGTCGCCCCCGCCTCCTGCTGGAGAATGCGCGGCAGGCGGTGCTGGTGAGCGCGCGCGGCGAGCGCTTCCTGGCCGGGGCCGCGGCGCGCGGGCTCGCGGTGCTCGAGGGCGTCAGCCTCGTGGTGGGCGCGTAAGTGGGGGCCGGGCTTGGGGCAGGGTCCCCCGTGTGCGCTGGGCGAGGCCGAATGCTTCCTGCAGCCTGCACGCACAACTGCAAGCCTGCAATTCAGGCACCTGTTGCTGGACTGATTCAGGGTGCCTTGAATTGGGTGTTTTCGGGGAAGCCAAGCATCTAGGCTGAACACCTCAGAAGACGCACCGAATCTAGCCTCCCCTGGTAAAATGCCATTGTCTAACCATCAGAAGGCCCTGAGTTGCCCGAGTTCAATCCTCTGTTCCGCAAAAAAAAAAAAAAAAAAAAAAGAATGACCCATTGCCAAACAATTAAAAAAAAAAAAAGGTGCTGAGGTCCCCTCCAATTTTCTTTCTTTCTTTCTTTCTTTCTTTCTTTCTTTCTTTCTTTCTTTCTTTCTTTCTTTCAGTTCAGGATGGCCTGGACCTCTCTATGTACCCTAGGCTGGCCTACACCTAATGAAGATCTTCCTTCCTCAGCCTCCTGAGTGCCAGGATTACAGGTGTGGGCCCCTGAACCTGGCTGCTGTTTCTCTTTTAAAAACAGATTTCTGATTCCGCCTCCTATCTAGAGATCTTTTAGGCACAACTCTGGGGAGAGAGTTCTGAGACTTGAATTTTCGAGAAACACCTCTAGTGTGCTTATAGTCCACACACTGACGTCTGAGAACTAGAAAATAATTAGATGGTGGCTTCGGCGGGTGGAAGTCAGGATTTGTCCTCATGGAAAGAGGTTATATTTTCCATCTCTTAACCTTCCAGCTTCCTGTCAGGCATGGAGGAAAGAACAGCCAAAAACCAGGAGTGTAGTCTGGTGTCTGAATGGGGATTGGGTGAGGATTTGCACCCCAGAGCCACAGGGCACCTCAATTGCGTCACATGTCACAAACAGGCTCGCTTGTCTCAGCTGCTTAAAGTTGTGTAAAAGTCTAGCTTTTAGGGACTCAGGGCTTGTTTGTTTTTAGTTAATGTAGAGATGACGCTATTTTCTGCCATTGTCAAAAATGTGTTAAAATAGGTCAGAATAGCACATTTGCTTAGTGAGTTGAGAAAACAGCTACCTATGTTGGGGAGAAGTATCTACAGTAATTACAGTCATCCTGCTACATGCAGGCTTGGGCTTAAGGGCATGTGTTGAGGGTTCTGAAAACTTCCCCAGCCTAAGACCTCAGTGGGTATCTGCCATGGGGTCTGAATTCCACCTACATTCACTCATTTGGGCCTTCAAAGATGCCTTATTCTTTTTTTATATTTTATTATTTATGTATTTGGTACAGAGTTCCATACACAGCTTGGACTCGTAGTGATCCTCCTGTTTTCAGCCTCACCAGTACTGGGATTAGAGGCGTGCACCACCACGTTCAGTCTCAGTGGCCTGCTCAACATGTCTGGTTGTGGGGCCGGTGGTCCCTGTGATTGTCTAAGTGGGCACTTAGTCTGCTGTGAGCTATCTTGCTGGCCCAAGATGCCTTATTCTTATATTTTGTTGTGTCTGTGTGTGGAGGTGCTAACGAATCTTGGAGAGGCTTCCAAGTCTGTCACTAAAATCTAGAAGAGTGGCACACACCAGCACCTCCTCCCCACTTCTAAAGAGATCCATCAGAAGGCTAAGACCCAGATGAAAAACTGACAAAACAAATAGGAATGAAAACCCAGATCCATCCACAAGGCCCGTTTTGCTTTAGTACTTCAGAGAAGAGAGGCTAAGTGGAAGATGTTGGCGCAAGAACTGATGGCTGCTTTATCTCTTTGAGGTCAGTGAAAGTCAGGTGGAAAATGAACCCTAACAAAAGGGCCTTTTCATGCATGCAGCAGTCAGGGACTGTGCTGACCTTTGAGGATGCAAATGTGACTACAGCTGGGTCCTGCCCTCCAAGAGCTGAGTCTGTGGGGAGACAGGATGTTGGACAAGATGGTTAGGGCCCCGTATAACAGGTGCAGAGTTGGAGATGCCTGTGCGTGATGGGCTTTGAAGGGCTGCTTAAAGGGCCACCTATGCCAAGGTCGGGGTGGATTCATTCATCGATAAGCAAGATCAGCTGTGGTAACTGCAGTGGTCCACGTGTGGCTTCATAGCTTTCATAAGACACCTTCAGAGCCACTGTAAGAAGCAGTTTCTCCCTAAACTATCCTCATTACTGTTTAGTGGTGAGGGTCAGCCCACAGTTTCAAAGATAGTGTTGGGGGCTGGGGAGATGGCTCTAGTGGAATAAGCACTTCCCTGGCAAGTGCAAGGGCCTGAGTTCAACCCCCAGTTCCACACACACAAAAAAAAGTTTGTGTTGGGCTTGCTGTTTTCCTTTACTGCTTCCAGAAGATTCTCTAGAATTTTTCTTCTTAGCTAGAATAAATAAAACAACAGTACCTGTCTGTTTGGCCCCCTTAAAAAAGCCCCCTTGTAGTTTATGTCTTTTATAGAAAAAGAGTAAATACGCACAAATGACAAAGTGAAAAATGAATCACTCAGACTCAACATTCCGTGGGCTGACAGCAGCAGCAGGTCCTGCTTCTGTCCGATGTTTCCCTATGCAAACAGAATTTCATAAATGTGCACTTAAAAAAGAACGTAGATTGTTTCGTGCCCTATTTTTTCCACTTATCAACAAATAGTGAAAAATCCACCATAGCACAAATAGATACCTTTGCAATTGTAAGTGGCTACTGCAATAATTTGGGAAGGAATATTCTTTCCTTTTTCTTTCTTTCTTTTTTTTTTTTTTTTTTTTCTGGAACTGGGGATTGAACTCAGGCCCTTGTGCTTGCCAGGGAAGCGCTTACTCTACTGAGCCATTCTCCCTGGCCCCTCCTTTAGGGGTAGAATAAAAAAAAATTAATTTTGAAATATAGCTATCACTTACAGTATTCATCTGGCCCAGTTCAATAATCTACCCACAATGCAGTGCATCTGGTGCTGGAAAGAACCAGTGGGATTAGAGATTGACCTCTGAATGGGAAAGATGAAGGCGAATGCTCTCTCAGGACTCCTTTTAACTTTGTCTCTTTTGGCATGTAGCAGTACCAGCTAGGAGCCATAGGGCAAATGGTCTGATAACACCTTTGTAAAGAGCTCATAGCAGGGGCTGGCAAGATAGCTCAGCAGACTAAACTGCCTGCTTAGGCAAACTTAGGCAAGCACAGGAATCTTGGTTCAATCCCCAGCACCACATGCCATGCCAGCCCCACCCCCAGGGCAGGCTGAGCCTACCACAGAGTCCAAGACCACAGAGTCTGAGCGGGTGTAGTGGCCCATGTCTGTAATCCCAGCACTGGGGGAGTTGAAAACAGGAGGATCACTATGCATCAGAGCTGCATTGTGAGATCCTGTAACAACCAAATACATTTTTTAAAAAAAGTTCATAGCAGACACTGTTTTAGGAATGGTTTATTTGTGCTTTAACCTAAAGAAGTAAATCTAATCTCTAACAGCCTCAATCTCTGTGTAAGGAGTACTATAAGGACATTAACCCTACAATTATCTCCCTTCTAAGAGCAAATTATTCTCTCATTCATTAGCGGGTTCTTACATATCATGCTGGAACACAGCTTTAGGTCCAAGGACAGTTACTGAGAGAAATTAATATTTCTCTCCTTTCCTGACATCCCTCTTTTTACCCAGTTTCTGTCCCTCTGCTCTTCTGTTAGGTTACTCAACCCACCTTCATTTCATTTGCAGACCCTTCAGCCCCACCTGCTGTGCAGAACACTTCCTACCTCTCAGGGTTCTAACCCGTCATCTTCATTTTGGAAACACTGATTTGCAGACCCTAATTAAGAGTGGTTGAGATAAGGTCGAAGTCTATTTCTTTCTTGTGAAAAAAAAGAAAAAAAAAAAAAAAAAAACCGAAGCAGTTGCGGGGCTGGTTGAATGCTGCTCTCCATGGAGTTGTCAGGATCCAAGCTCCCCCTTGTTCTGTGGTAACATGGCCACTTTCACACAGTTGCTCCAGGATTCAATATGGCAGCTCCTTGTGTGGTAATGGTGTTCCTATTCCAGACAGTGAAAATAAGGAATAAAAACAGTCCTATTCGCTAGAACTTCATCACATGGCTGTACAATGGGAAATGTCTTTTTTCTGGGTGGTTTTGTGTCCAGCTAGAACTTAGCTCTCTAGAACAGTAGGAAAAAGAAACATTGATCTTAGGAAACAGCTAGCAATTTCTGCCACATGTGGTTTGTCTTCACTATAGCTAGATTTACTTTCTCAAAGATTCAGCTCATAGAAGAAAACAGGCAATGTTGAACAACAACACCAAGGCACCTGAAAAGTTAAGTCATTGATCAGAATTCTCACAAGATTTCCTCTAAATTTAGTAACCATTTCTTGATTTTTCCTCAGTGATGGGTTTATAGAAGCAATTGGCCCTGCTGATGTTATCCAAAAACAATTTTCTGAAGCAACTTTTGAAGAAAGAATTGACTGCTCTGGAAAATGTATCCTACCAGGTACTTACCTGTTTCAGAAAGCTTTGAATATAGTTTTAGTGGTTGCCTGTGCAGTGTGAAAGACAACAGTTGTCTTAAGCGGGTCATGATTGCAATACTTCCAAGTTTTGAATTACTGCTACTAAATGTCTGGCTGGTATACAAACATGACTTCATGTTGAATCCTTGTAGTTATTGCCTAAGGTAGGTATCATTGTCTACATGTTAGAGAATAGAAAACTGAAAGCTAGAGATGAAATATGTTGCCCAAGTTTTCTAAGAAGGTAAAAGGAATGCTTGTTATTACTCCTTTTTCTCCTGTGTTTAATTGCTTACCCTATTTAGTTGGTTGCTTCTGATCTCATTCGTGGAGTTCTGATCATTTTGGTCCCTCTCTAGAACATCTTTCAGTAGCCTGTGTAGGGTTGGCTTTGTCATCACGAAATTCTTTAGCTATTCTTTGTCATGGAAGTATTTCACTTCTCCATCAAACTTGAAAGAGAGTTTTGCAGGGTATAGTAGTCTGGGCTGGAATTTGTTTTCATAGAGGACTTGAAGTACTCTGCACCATGCTCTTCTTGCCTGCATGGTTTGTGAAGAGAAGTCAGCCGTAATTCTGATGGGTTTTCCTTTGAATGTGATCTGCTTCTTTTCTCTAGCGGCTTTCAGTAGATTATTCTTGTACTGAATTTCTGGGATCTTGATGATTATATGTCTCGGTGTGTTTTTCATTGGGTTGAGGTTACTTGGCGTTCTGTATGCTTCAGTTACCTGAATGTCAGATTGTTTCCTCATATGTGGGAAGTTTTCTGCTATTACTTCTGCCCATATATTTTTAATGTCATTTGTATTGACTCCTTCTTTCTCATTGATGCCTATTAATCTTACATTGTTCATCTTTGCATCATCTTGCAGGTGATGGATTATTATTTCCTGCATCCTCGTTGTTTTTAAGAGATCCTTTCTTACCTTTTCACTAGCTGCACCAGCATATTCAAGATCTGAAACTCTGTCTTCACTTTCACTTAAACGGTTTTGCAAGGTTGTGATTGAGATTTTAATTTCCTCTATATCTCTTTGACTCTGCTTCATGCGATCTATTTCTTTCCTGTATTGCTCATTCAAGGAATCCGTCATTTTTCTAATCTCCTCTGTTTTTTTAATAGCTTCCGTAGAAGCAGTTAAAAATTCTTTTACTGCATTATTTTTTTCAGATTGGGTTTCCTCCCTATGTTTTTGTAGTTGTTTCTTTACTTCAGAGGCTATGAGTTCTAAGAATTCTTTTTTTATTTCAGAAAGAATTGTGCTCTGAGTTCCTCTATAACTTTCTGCTGTTGCTTATTTGCTATCGACGCTATTAATTCATGCATTTGAGCCGAGCTAGTGTCCTCTGCACTTGTTCTGGGTGGGCATTGGGTTTCCTCCATATGTTTCTGCATTTGATTCTTTACTGCAGATGTTATTAATTCAGGGATTTCTTTTTCTATTTCCAATCTGAGTTCTTCTATACCTTTTTGCAGCTGTTTCTTTATTTCAGAAGCCATTGATTGCTTTTAGCTGTGTGATTCCCAATTTGTTCTGTGTTAGTGTCCCCTGCACTTGTTATGGGTGGGCTTGGGTTCTGAGATTGCATTTTGTTCCTTCTCGTCATTTTGTGTAGCACTGTCTTCTGACCTTTGTTGCAGTTATAACCTTAGCACATACTGAAGTTCAGGTTCAGATCTACAAAGTTTGGATTATCTAGCTGTGTCTGGCTTGGGTCTGGCTGCTGTGCTCAGCTCCTTCCTGCTGCTGCCCTTGGGGGTGAACCTGTTGCACCCCTCTGGCAAGACTTTCTGCTCCTGGACTAGCTGGGTGGTTCTATCCTCTACACTCTTTGCAGGGATTTCAGCTGCAGGGTTTCATCCCAGGCCTGTATGCCCGGCCTGAGCTGAGCCTGGAGGGGACAAGGTTTAGTAGTGGGAAGAGGCAGCTCTCCCACACACTCACCAGGCCTAGGCTAGGACTGGGTCTGGGGGTTCCCAGAACGCGGCAGAAATTCCTACTGGGTGGGTGGGGTGGGGGAGGTGCTGCGGAGTGGTAGGGGGTATCCCAGGAGGGTGGGAGAGGGTCTCACCCACGCTGTGCCTGGTCTGGGACCAGTAGTAGGTCCCGCCGCCAGCGCAGGGTAGCAGGAAGCTCTCCCACACACTCACCGGGCCTGGGCTAGGACTGGGTCTGGGGGTTCCCTGAATGTGGCAGAAATTCCTCGGAATGCTTGTTATTAAATCCATTCATTCTCTCCATTTCCTCCCACTCATGTGGTGAAAAGAAATGATCTGTGTTGTGTTTAGGCTACAGAGCAGTTGAGATAGATGAAATAAATGTCTTAATCCGTGGTAATGGAAAGCAGAAAGAGCAGATGCTATATCTAATAGAAATGCTCTAAATTTGCACAGGGACAACCTAGAGATTTCAGGACAGTTCATCTACATCTTTACAAGTAATTGAGAACAAAATCAGTTTATCAACATTGTCTCCTACCTTATTTATCTAGAATGACTGCAGGTAATTATCTGAAATAAATCTCACAAATTTTGAATTCTATGCAAACACATCACTTTATATAAAATTATACACACATTTTAATAAAATTAATTTATATACAATTTTTAAAATTTTAAAAATGTTTACTGAGTATACCTGTGAGGTCTACATTCTGTTTTTGGAGAATAAAAACCAGAAAACAAGTCAGGATAAAATAGTATAAAAAAGAACATATGATAAAAATTAGACTAGAATTTTTGATTTAGCCCAATCAGAACCATTAATGAGCAATTTAAAATATTTTAAATGTTTCTTAAAGGCATACTTCATTCAATTGTATATGGATAAACAAAAGTTTCTCATGAGTGCTTTATAATTTTCCTTAATTAAAATGTTTTTGTCTTGAATATAAATTCATTTTCTTATTTTTCTTCTTAAAGTTGGGGGTGGTTGTGTTATGATAGTCCTTAGTTTTGCTCAATGAATGGTTTTAACAACTTGGATTAAAAGCTTGTTTGGTAGATATGAGTTTACTGATCAAAGGAACTGGGTAGGTGTAAGGGAGACCGTCATGTTGAATTACCCTCCTTCATTAGAATGTTCTAGAACAGCTGCACAGGGGGGAACTCACAGACCAAAATCTTCCCTCAGGGTCTATGGACTCGTAATGAGTCTCCTCTTTTCAACCTCCCAGGTGCTGGGATTACAGGCAGGCGCCACCACACCCAGTCTTGATTGCAATCTCAGGGCACCCCTGGGTACGTGGCCAGCACAGCACACCAGGAATCAAACCCCAGCCACTGCGCTCTGCCTAAGCAGGCGTTTTAGTCCGCTGAGCTATCAGGCCGACCCGTGCCTTGTGCGTCTCAACTTTAAGGTGACTTGACTCATTGATTTCAGGTCTGGTGGATGCACACACACATCCCGTGTGGGCTGGCGAAAGAGTCCACGAGTTTGTGATGAAGGTAACTGCAATGAATAATGGCAAATCAAAATCAAGCATAAAATCTTTTTCTTAAGAGTTTGGAGGCTAGCGACCTTTGCCACACATTTTTACTTCCTGAGAATAAAAAGCAAGTGAAAACCAACCTAAGTTACTTATAACTGCCTTAAGTCTTCATATGAGGCTTAGGGCTAGGAAGCATTTTCAGTAGACTAGTACTTGATTGTTCGTAGCTTTTAGAACAAACCGAGTGACCTGACCACTCTCTGGTCCTCCCTTCATTCCAGTCACTACCTATAGTAGCATTTGCAAATTCTAAGAAACAGTTGGAAAATAAGTATCCTTTGAGGTCAAACTTGGGAAAACACCAGTCACAAAAATAACATGTCTTCTGTTATCTTCTCCCCAGAGGATCATAAAACATGTTCTGTATGTATCTCATGTTAGCCAAAGCCATCCCTAAAACTTTGGTTGCAGCCATTTACACAGTCTTTTAAAGAAAATAAAATATGTTCATTCTAGTAGCTAAGTTGGATTATTTCCAAAAAATGGAAAACCCTGCCTTTTTAAAAGATAGCATGGGTGTTTCTCAACAAACTGAAGTGTTTTCAAAGACTTCTTAAACCAAGAGTTTCAGAGCCCAGAGTAATCTCGGTTTTGTGGTCTGATGCTGCCATTATACTGAGGGACACAAGTCCTGGGATCAGCCCAGGACGGCAGGGCCTGGTGACGCCTCTGGCCTGGAGACCCAGCCTCCACCTGCTGTCTAGAGTGATTGGAGCCTGTGGGACCCCAAGAAGAGCCTCTGTTTGCTTGAGTGACAAAGGACAGGCTTCAGAGTCTGGTGCCTAAATGCTGAGGCCTGGAAACCGTCCTGGAGCTCTGCAGTGGGAATCTGAGTTCAGTGGGGTTCCCTGAGTACCCTAAGCCCCTCGCTTTATCAAACGTGCTCAGGTATGCAGGGAGGGCAAAGACTCAGCTGGTTCTCATGGAGGTGGGTGAGGACACAGGAAAGACTGGCTTATCAATACACTGAAATATTCCTCTACCAGCTTTCAGTTTTGCTATCCTGAGACCCCAACTGCCCAACCACCACCCCTCCATTTCTGCCTCTCCAATGTCCTCCTGAGATTCCCTTCTGAGGACTCCACAATCTAATGTCTGGGTACTGGGGATAGAACCCAGTGCCTTCACACTGAGCCATATCCCCAACTCATTTTTTATTTTGGGGATGGGGTCTCACTAAGTCGCTAAATTACACAGGCTGGGCTTGAACTTGTGATCCACATGCCTAAACCTCCCAGAGTGCCAGGCTATTTCACCACAGCTCCTGGCTGTGTTTAGTCTTCTTTAAATATCCTCTTTGTGCCACCTGCAACCCGCCCTGCCTGAGCCGTGTGTTCAGTTGGCAGGAGCCACGTACATGGACATCCACCAGGCTGGAGGGGGGATCAATTTCACAGTGGAGCGCACCCGCCAGGCCTCGGAGGAGGAGCTGTTCCGCTCCTTGCAGCAGCGGCTGCAGTGCATGCTGAGGGCCGGCACCACGCTGGTGGAGTGCAAGAGTGGCTACGGCCTCGCCCTGAAGGAGGAGCTCAAGATGCTGCGAGTGATTGAGCGTGCAAGGCGGGAGCTGCCAGTGGGGATCTCGGCCACTTACTGCGGGGCTCATGCGGTGCCCAGGTAATGGGTAGGGGCTTGGAGCTGCGGCAGCCTTGAGCTCTGAGGAGGGGACCAGGAGGAAGGGTGCTGTGCTGCGGTTGCCAGTCATCCACACACGAGGTGTCAGGAAGGAACTTTGTTAGCTGCATCATTTGTATTGGCCTTTTATTGATGAAAGAAGAGATGTTGTAAGTTCTTTTAGAAAAGAACTGTCCCCCTGGGGGTCATTTAAAATGACTGATACTAACTTGAATAATTCCCTGTGATCATGAATTAGCATTTAAAAACACCACTGTAGTAACACCCTGTAAGAAACATCAATCTTATTCTAAGTGATTGAAGAAGGGTCATTATCTTTTTTAAAAATGTGTTTGGTACATGGTCTCGTTAGGAGCTCGGACTTGTAGTGATCCTCCTGTTTTCAGCCTTTCCAGCACTGGGATTATAGGCAAGCAGCACCATGATTGGTCTCAGTAGCTAGCCAGCATGCCTGAGGGCGGGGCCAGTGCGGCAGGTGGTGCTGGGATCGAACCCTGCTCCCTGAGCTTGCCTAAGCAGGCGCTTAGTCCTCTGAGCTACCTCACCAGCCCTAGGGTCATTAGGTTTTACTAAATAACAAACATTTTTGTTTTATTGTGATGTTTTTAAGACTTTCCCTTTGCATTAGTAGTGCTTCTGGGTCAGGTTTAGTTTGGCCCATGGTTTGGGAGGTTCAGTCCATGGTGAGCCATGCCATCATAGAGGAAGAGGAGGGTGAGCAAAAAAGTGCTTAGTTCATGGCAGCCTGCAGTGCAGTCACAGCTAGGCAGCACGCCCAAGATCGCGCAGCCAACAAGAGGTACAGCTCTGTGTCCATCAGACTTTCAAAGCACAGCCCCTTCCTGAGGTGTAATGACTCCAGAATTTTAGAGAGCTTTTCAAGTCCTCCTCCTGTCCTCTCTCCTATGCCCTGACAGTGAGACACAGGGTCTTAGACAGCATCATGACGGAAGGAACAGAAGAAGGATTGCCAGGCCCCTGTAAGAGGACTACAGCTGTCTTAGAGGAAAGCATCAGGACATCCCCTAAGCATCCTTCATCAGGAGACTTTATACAGGGAGGTAGCTTTGCAGTCAAGTGCCCCTGCTGACCTCCCTGAAGGCAACACAGCCATGCCAGCATGGCTGAGCAATTTGTGTCTTCAAATATAGGTTGTCTACAGAAATCATGTTCAGACTTACACTGTGTAGGCATGGCCCAATGGTTAAGAGTTCTGACTTTTTAGCTTGATTCTTTCTGTATATTGTGGAGGCTTGATATCATCTACCTACACTGTTTCTCAGCTTCTTCAAATGCCTAATTGACCTTTTTCCTTAAAAAAAAAATGTATGTGTATATTTTCCATCAGAGGAAAAACTGCCCTGGAAGCTGCTGATGACATCATCAGTAACCACCTCCCAAAGCTGAAGGAACTTGGCAGAAATGGGGAAATGCACATTGACAACATAGACGTGTTCTGTGAGGAGGGCGTCTTTGACCTGGATTCCACCAGAAGGATTCTCCAGAGTGGAAAAGAGATGGGGCTGCAGATTAACTTCCACGGTGACGAGCTGCATCCCATGAGGGCCGCCGAGGTGCGCTTGGCTTTGGCTCTTTCTTTTTCTACACTCATTCTTGCACGGTCAGGCTATGGAGAACTTCATCCGTTTGTTCATGGCTAGGAGTGGTCTTCTAGAAAGACAGATCATGGGGAAATTTGTTTGAACAGTGGGAAGATGGATCTGAGTGAGTGTAGAAACTTAACTCTCTTTAGGTGCGGAGGTTGAACCCAGGGCCTCACACATGCTGAGCATGTGCTGTCCCACGGAGCTGTCCCTGCAGCCTCATCTTTTTATTGTTGTCTACTAGTGTTATTAAGGAACCAGATGTACCTCTGTGATCTCATTTACTAAATTCACAGTCTGTTTAGGTTGGCACGCAAAGCCAGTCTAACATAGAGTATTCTCACTTGTAGCTTCTGGGTGCTCTTGTGGCCAACTTCAAAGCGCTGTTGGTGGCACACACTGTTCTTAGTCACAGGGAGGTTTTCAAATCTGTATTCTTGCTCAGATCCATTTATTCATCCTCTCCATAGTTGTTCACATGTCAGCTGCTCCAGGTAGTAATGAGAACTCACTGGTGAATAAAACGCAGCCTCTGCTGCTGTGAGCGTGGACACTACACCCAGAACTTGATCAACAATGACTGGTGGGCCCTAAACAGCTGCAGGCCCTCAGTGTGCATTTCAGTCATTCGCTTCCAACTTGGTGTCCTGATATCGTGTCCAAACCTTGGCTGTGTCCCCTGCCCTGATGAATATTGCCATCTATCTATTGCTCCACTCAAAACCTTGATCATCATTTTGATCCCTCAGCCTCTCACCTTCCATATTTCAGTTACCACGAGCCTCTGGTTCTCCTCCTAAGAGCCGCGAGATCCATGTCTCTCTCCTCAGCCCACCATGCAGTCTCACCTGAGTCCTTGCAGTCACTGCTCTGCCTACTATCCTGTCTGCACTTTAATTCCCTCCTCTCACCCATTCCTTCAATGTGTCATATCCTTTACCTTCACTGCTTAAAACTACTTCAAGGCTCAGCATTGCTTTGGGGACAGATTTTAAACGCTCCCTGGTGTCCAGGGTTGCCCCTCCCTCTGTGCTTCCCTCCCGCTCTCTCAGGCCCCTGCACCTCCTCCAGCCTCTATCATGAACCAGGCATGGGAGCTGGTGCTAGGGTTCTTGCCTTTGGGTGCGCTGATTCTCTAATCTGAACACACACTGTATTCTTTTATGTTTTGTGATGCTGGGATTGAGCCAGGGGCCTCTGAGTTTCATCATAGCTTCCACTTCTTTGGGGACTTTTCTCCAGCCTCCCAGGAGTAGGTTACCGGCTGTCCCTGTCTTTATCCCACTGGGTTCATATCCCCACCCAGTGCCTACTGGACCATGGACACAGTGAACTTTGCACTGTTTCTTTGCCTAACTCTGTCCTTAGAGATCAGCACAGCACCTGCGGGTACAGATGATCTTGTTTATGGTAAATGTTGATGAATGCAAACTGGGTGGTCAGAGCGATACTTTAGGTCCTAGACAGTGACTGGTAGATTAAATCAATAGAAGTCAATATTCATAATAAAGTTCAGAAAAGAGAGGGTGATTCCAAGGTCAGGAAAGAACGCCATATCTCCCCCCTCTCTCCCAGCATTATCTGTCCCACGACCACCAGAGTCCCCAGAGCCCAACCCCAAATACAGGTCTGAGCAAGCTATGAATGAAGGCTCAAGGTTTCTCTGCCTTGGCTGGAGTTTTGCAGCTCCCCCTAGGCCCCATCAGGACCCCAAGTGCCAGTCTCCTCTCCTGCCCTTCAAATGCTTTCCAGGTCAACTTTTTAGCTTGGGGCACTTTGTGCTTGGGTGTGAAAACTAGTAGAGAAGGGATCCACTGTAGAGCAGGGCTTCCATGTCACCACAGTGTCACTTCTTGGGTTAGCCCAGCTCTTCATCAGAAAGAAAGTCAAGATGGTTGATAGTCTCAAAATCATTCACAGCATCCCACATTTTCTGTCTGTTTTTCCCACCTGATTGCTTTGAAGTTTACTTTTGTATCTGATAAGCATTACGAAATGCCTGTCTTGATTGTGCTTTTATGATGGTATCATAGATTTTATTACCCATGTCACTCAAAGTTCTACCCTGACCTGTAAGATTCATAAAATTTTCTGTACCAGAAAACATTTGAAAGTAGGGGCCAGGGAGATAGCTCAGTAGCATAAGCGCCTGCCTGGCAAGCACAAGGTCCTGAGTTTGATCCCCAGTACCACAAAAGGAATAACAACAACAACAACAAAATTATATAGAAAATGCCTGAAAGTATTTATATTTAAGATTAGTTTTAAAAGTGCAAGCTACCTTCCTTTCCAGTGGATGTGCATTATATACCTCAACCCACAGGAAGATTATGCTTATAAAGAAGGTAGCTGTCAAGAAATCTTAATAATAGAGTGCCTCTCTTTTTGTAGGAAGAGCAATGTCCTGGCTAACCTCCCTCTTCTGCCCTGTTTAGCTTGGGGCAGAGCTGGGAGCCCGTGCAGTCAGCCACCTGGAGGAGGTAAGCGATGCAGGCATCACTGCCATGGCCGCGGCAGGCTGCTGCGCCGTCCTGCTGCCCACCACGGCCTACATGCTGAGGTAAGTGAGTTTCTCACCTTGAGGCAAGCTGGGAAGACGCAGACTTCTGGGTGCCTCAACATTACTGCATCACCCTTACAAATCCCTGAAATGCATGCTCATGAAGATGCAACTCTGGACAGATGCTGCGAAAGAAAGGAGCTCGTGCTGAAAGTGGAGTAGTGGGATTATCAGGAAATTTAGTACTTTAAACAAAAAATGTTTTTTTTTCCTCCTAGATCTTGGTATTTTCTAGGTTTTAAAAAAATCAACAAATGTTACTTTTCTTATTAGAAAATTATGAAACAAATTTTAAACTTTTTAAAAGAGTGCATGAGATCTTAGACTATCTAATAGTACTTGGGATCGGAACGAGCTGTTTTCTGCAAGGTTGGTGGTGGCTACCATGACTGAGGGCCAGAATTTCCACAGATTCTGGGGGTGGGAGGACCGAGGACACACAAGGTGTAGTTTGTAAAATCTCCCTAGAGACGTTGCTGTAGGCCCTCTCTGAGTTGAGCATACCTTATCCATCTTTTAGAGCTGCGCTTGCTCTGATTCTGCGCAGCAGGAGCTCTGAACCTTTTGGCCTTACTTGAGACAGCTGCTGAGTCTGTGGTCCTGGTAACCAACACTCAAGTAGCAGTCTATTTCCCTGGGGACAAGGTGCTCGCTGTGTGCTTATGGTGAGTGGTCTTGGTGGGGGCACAATGACCTAGGGCCAGAGCTTCTCACCCTTGAGAGGACTTGGGACATTTCTGGTTCTCATGATTAGATGGTCCTCCTGACATCTAATGGGTAGAGACCAGGGATGCAGTTAAACTTCCCTCAGTGCATAGAGGGAACCCAACATAGCAATACACAGCCTACGACAGGAATTGAGGCACGGTTGAGAAGGCCAGACTCTCTATAACTTGTAGAAGGGGAAAGAAAGGAATATCGGGCTGATCGCATACACGCATATATTTTTTATTATTGTTTAAAATTTTCTCGTAAGAGTAGACACAATGTAAGATATAACTAGGAAATATCAATAACTGTTCCTGGTCTGTTCCACTGCTTTTCTTACACATCTCAATGGTCATTACTCTAAGTCATTATCCGTGTTCAATTTGGCTAATTTTTTTTTTTTTTTTTTTTTTGCAAAACTAGGGATTGAACTCAGGCCCTTGTGCTTGCCAGGCAAGCATTTATTCTACTGAGCCATCTACTGGGCCCCAATTTGGTTAATTTTCTACTGCTCAAAGAATGAGTTTTTCTTTTACTGTCCTAGACTCTTAGCAGGGAGCAGAAGGACTTTGTGGCCCGGAAAGCTGTTCAGCACTCATGGTCTGAACTTTGTTCCTGTGCCATTGGTGGCTGTCATCACCACAGACAGGTTTACGTCACACATGGGTGACAAGGACAATCTTTGTTATGGAGTTTTCTGCTGTGTCCTAATTGCAGACTGGCAGCCTCCTGGCAGGTCCTGACCTGGCCTTTTCTCATGCCTCTTCAGGGCTTCCTGTAATCGTGTATTCTTTGAATATCTCAGTGTACAATTTATTCAGGAAATATTTGTTCCTCTAGTGAGCTCTCTTAATACTTCTATAGCCTCACTGAGAACCAGAGGCCATTGGCAGGATCTACGAGAAGCTCCATAAATCTCCAGCCTATAGTTTCCCTCTCCCAGGTTTCTTTTACTCAAGGTCAACTATAGACTGAACATATTAAACAGAGAATTCCAGAAATTAACAGTTCATTAATTCATGGAGTGTCTCAATTGGCAGACTTAGGGACGCTTGAAGTATTTGAACCATAAACTTATTTACCATTTGTCACATTGACTATATTCCTAGGCTGTAATAGTGCCATTCATTCATTCATTCATTCATTCATTCATTCATGTAAGCATTGATTAGAGACAGGGCGTACTATGTAGAGACAAACAAATTATACTAAAAAGCAAGACTTCTCTCACACAGTAGGGGTAGACACAATAGTCCAAATATCTCCCTACTGTCTCAAGAAGGGCGCCAACCAACCAATGGGAGTCAGACAGAGGTAGAGTGAGATTTCATGGATGTCATTGTAATTAACAGCTAGAAGGTGTACTGTTCCATCACGGCCCAGTTACCATGAGACAGAGGCCATCTAGCGTTCCCAGGGCAGATGGAGGAATGTGGGGTCCGTAAGAGGCCAGGGAGGTGATGGCTAGCACGGAGGTTGGGAAGCCTTCCGAGAGGAGGCACCTCACAAAAATTATCCTCAACAGAACTCTAGTCAGGGCTTTGAGCCCCTCTGTAGAGTGGGCCTCCATGTTGGGCTACGGAACACTGCCAATTCTCAGTACAGATGGTTTTACCTTCCCGACCCCCGTGACTGAGAGACCAGGACAAACATCAGGGTAGTTTCTGATGGTCCAAATTATACCCTGAGATGGACTTGTCTCTGAGAAAGCTCAACTCCTGGGAGAATTTGCTGTCTGTGCCAGTCCCAAACCTGCAGATACACCTGAAAGCCTTTTAGAGCAGTTATACATCCTTTCTCTTCTCCTTGGACATTAAATCTCTAGCCCAGAACTAAATTCTCAGGGACCCAAAAGCTGTCTCTGAAAGGTGAATATTTAAGGAGAAAGCATTCACACTTGTTCTCTTTGCTCTAATTTGTACTCCTGCCTCCTGCCATGAAGAGACAAGTTTGTCTCCTTCAGATGAGCCCCAGTGTCAAGCCCAATCTCTTTGACTCATTCCCTCTATCATTCTGCAAATTTCCTCCTCCTGATTGCTTGAGTCCCTGATGTATTTTCCCTCCCTACTTCATTTCCCCTTCACCCCACCCCCAGTTGCCTCTGCACAAACTGAAGTTGAGTTCAGTTTATGATGTGTTCCTTTCCTTATTGCAGTAGTTATTACTGAATTAGTCTGTTCCCATCACTTTCACTAGCATATGGCTTCATTTATCTTTGAAATGACTTGAGATCTATCCTAAAGAATAAGAAGTATTTCATCAAGGACGCTAGGGAGGTGACTGATCTCCAATAAGCACAGACATTTTGCATATTACATTCTTGAGCCTTCAGGATTTTAGAAGAACTGTGAAAAATGTTTTAATCCAGGAGAAGGAGAAGAAGAAGAAAAGAAAGAAGAATAAATGAGAGGAAGAGTAAACTTATTAGTTATCTAGTTGGAGAGTTACAGAAATTTATTAGACTTGGAAACCATTTATAGGTTATATTTTTCTTCCTTAGCAAATATCCCTAACTATAATAAATCATTAAGGTATATAATCACAAATTAAGCGAAGAATAGTCAAGTGATTTCAAAGGCAGTGATAAGAATCCTAGGGCTCCAGCTAAGTACTTGGATTTCCTGTGTCTCCTTCCAGAACACGGAGGGGTTAATTGTCTCAGCGTGTGTGCTTTTCTAAACACCTACTCCGAAATGTTCCAGTCCTGAAGACCGACATCTCTCCTTCTTCTCCTTAGGCTGAAGCAGCCACGTGCCAGGAAGATGCTGGATGAAGGGGTGATAGTAGCACTGGGGAGCGATTTCAACCCTAATGCGTACTGCTTTTCGATGGTAATTCTTCTTCACGTCTTTCTGAGCAGAGTATCTACCAATCATACACCACCTTTCTTGTTTCACGGGGAAACATTTTTAGATCTTCTCCACGAAACAAGAAAAAAAGAGACAGCCGGTAGTACGATTGGGCTGTTCTCTACCACGTGACTATCTCCAGCCTGAAAGGGCTACTGTTTGCATTATTTTCTGATTTAGCCTTGAGTTTTTTTGGTTTTATAGCAGCCCATATTCCTTCTCCAGAGCACAGCAGGGACTCAGAGGCTTCAATAAGTTAGGGCCGAGGTAAGCTTCGTATTCCACAGTAAGGGTTTTGAAAAGTTGTAAGCAAATAGTAAGTACAAAGTCTCTAGCGCACAAGTTTCCCAAGGCATAAGAAACCTCATGTACGAATTTAGACATTTTCATTGCAACATAGCGAGTTCCACCTGTATAGTTATTTGGGGGCTTTGAGATTGTATATTCATTTTGGGGTGCTGGGCTCCGGGCGTGCTAAGCACAACCTCTCCGGCTAATCTACGCCCCGAGCCCTTCCGTCTGGGCATCTAGCCATCTTGACCTGTTGTGCTGGGTTGGGGAATGTCCTCAGCAGCCGTCGCCATGCTGTTGCTTTCCTGCAATGTTCCTCTCTCCCGCCTCAGCCGATGGTCATGCACCTGGCCTGTGTGAACATGAGAATGTCCATGCCTGAGGCCTTGGCTGCCGCCACCATCAACGCAGCTTACGCGCTGGGGAAATCCCACACACACGGGTCTCTGGAAGTCGGCAAACAGGGGGATTTTATTGTCATCAATGCCTCCAGGTGAGTGTTCTCCCAGTGGAGCTGTGCTGTTTCCTGCCCACTGTTAGATCACGAGGAAGTTTATGTCCAGTTCCCCTAGCTACTGGTCTACACTGAGACACTGCCCAAGCCTACCAGCAGTCCTTTTAGACAGCCTGCCTCTTGCTCCTGAACTTCAGGTAGACCACGTTTTCAGGTCTCTCTGCCTTACATCTGTCCTCGATTTCCAGGTTCCTGCTCTGTTTACCTGGACTTGGGACTTCTGCTTTCGGGCATGTGTTATCATTTTTCTTTTTGGCTCCTGATCTGCTGGCTCCCAGCTCTGCTTGTCACCTTGGTTCTGATGAATTCTTTCTTGGACCCCCAAAGCCCTCGCTTAGTTACCTGGTTCCTGGTTTCTTTATTACCCACAGTCTGCTGCCACCTGGGCCTGCAGTGTGGCAACTTAGGTCCTGTTCTAATCTAAAAGTTGTTCATACTCTGGCTTGTTGGCTGAGAGTCTGACTCAGCCCGAGGGTCCCATGTTCAACAGAGAAGGGTGGCTGTGTGATTCTACTCATGGTTAGAATCCACCCCCTCTTTGAAAATAATGCTCACCTTGCCATTTGTGCTTCACATAATTGAGTGAATATTTTCTGATCAAGTACTTAAATAATATTATTAAATGATGTTTAATTTACAGTTGACCAGTTAGCTATTTACTTTTTGTTTGCAAGACCCAAATATCAAAGATCTAGCATAAATAAGTTTTTAGAAGATGCATTTTAGGGCTGGGGAGATGGCTCAGCAGAATAAATGCCTTCCTGAAAAGTGAAAGGTCCTGAGTTCCATCCCTGGTACCATATGTGTCGGCCTTGGAACCCGGGTGCACCATGCCCACCCTGGAACCGGGTGTGGTGGTGCGTGCCTGTAATCCCAGCACTAGGGAGGCTGAGACAGGAGGATCACTATGAGTCAAAACTGTAGCAAGACCCTGTATTAAAAAAATGCATTTTAAGTTAGCATTTATTGACATTGTGATGATTTTGAATAATGCATTGAAAAGATGTTTCCTTTTTTTTTTTTTCTTTTTTTTTTTCCCCTAGATGGGAGCATTTGATTTACCAGTTTGGAGGCCATCATGAATTAATTGAATATGTTATAGTTAAAGGAAAAGTCATCTATAAAAAATGATAGAACTGGAAGTAAAGAGAAGAAATGTCCACTGTACCAAATAAGTCAATACAACTCTTAAGCCTTCTGAGGTGTTTTAAATAAGTTAAAATTCTTTAGTGGTTTACCAGAACTGTGACATTTTCAATACATTTCAATTATGTTCTTAATTCTCTTAACATGCTCAAGTGGCTGATTTAGTTGAATTGGCATTCGGACAGGAACATATATACAAATACGACGTTCTTGTCAAATCACTAACTTGTTTCACAATGAATGTTTACAAAATGTCCTGAAGATGAATGTGATGTGGAATCACAGAAATGCCTTGGCGGATAAACCAGATTTGACTTGAAATTTCCTTTTTGTTTTCACATCTCAATTATTAATTTTTAAGCAATATTTAGTGACTATTAGGGAATGGAAGGAAATCTGGATGATGGGCCCTAAATTAAGCTTTTTCTAATAAGTAAACTGTATTTTTAATGCCTTTCAAATGAATTAATATATGTGGGGTGTCCTTCCATTTCTAATATATTTCCATTCCTAGCAGTGAAACTTCATAGCAGAATCAAAAACTTGTCACTTTACACAGAGGTGTAGGACCATTCGTGTAATAGATGCATTTTAATAAACTCAAATTATGTAAGTTTTTGAAGTTGTTTAAATGTTTTTGATTATTCACATCACATTGTATAAAAACATATTATAGACCTCAATAAATATTTGCTGTCTCTGTTACTAATGTTGTTTCTTTTCAGTCCCAGAGCTATCAGCAGCATTCTCTATTTGAATTTTTGAACAAAGTTGAACAAAAACATTACAAAATTACTTGCAAAGTAAATGACTGTGATTATTTATCTAGATGTGTGTTTCTAAAGCCATATGAATTTACTTGAAATCTTTAAAAATGTTTCACCTGTCTTTATAATCACAGACAGCTACATAATCAAACTTTCTCCTGTTTATAAAGGATTGATTTGACAGGTATTGTCAAATTATCACCAAGTTCAGGTTAATAGAGCCTGAATTAATGACTGAGTTTTGTTCTGCTCTGTGTGAGTTAATTGAAGTCAGCTTTCTGCTGCTGTACTGCAGTAAGTACAGCACGCTCTGTTAGTTAGCTTTGCCCTTGCTTAGGCGCAATTCCTGACACCCACAACCTGAAGGAGAAAAACTTTCATGTGACTCACGGTTTCAGAGGATTCAGTCCACAGTCATCAGGCTCCAAGGCAGGAACAACACAGCAGAATTCATGGCGGAGCAAAGCTGCTTAATCCATGGTAGTTAGGAAGCAGAGCAGGGGAGCAGTGCCAGACAGGAAGGGGCTGTGGACCGTGTATGTACTCAAGATCACACCTGTGTGACCCACCTAGACACACCCCAAAACGTGCTGTGCTAATCTGTTAGGCATTTCTTCATCCAATCAAGTTGACATATCAGGATTAGTGGTCACACATGCTATTTATAAAATGAGGTTTACTTAGCCCACAGCTTGGTCTGCTGAAAGTTCCCATCAGCACGGCCCAAACTCTGGTGAGGGTCTGCCTTGGCTGTGCCAACTCATGGCAGACAGATGACCATGGTGGGAATGGATGTGAGAGGAGCACTCACGTCTTCATAAAGCCGTAGAGAGACCAGATGGGGCCAAGCTCAGGCAAGACCCAGCCAGAGTCCAGGAGAAATGCCTTGATCCCTTTGAAGGACAGCCCTCCCCACCCTCCAGTTAACTTTGACCTGAAGACGTTCTTGCAAGGCTTCACCTGCCAGAGCTTCCACCTCCTCACATCACTACACTAAGACCTGAGCTGCTGTCACACAGACCCTTGGGGGACAAACTCATCCAAACTGTCTCTCAGAATATCTCATTGTACATTTACCATTTCATTTAAAGGAAGCACTTTATGGCTTTTCATCAGCATATCTGGGGTCAGGGATATAGCTCAGTGGCACAGCACTTGCCTAATAAGCACAAGGTCCTGAGTTTGGTTCCCAGTACCAAAAAAAAAAAAAGAAGCATACTGAGTATATCTGAGTTGCCAGTATTACCACTCTTGTGCTTTGGAGTCATCCTAAGTAAAACAAGGGTTACATGAGCACAAGGTCTGTGGTGCCAGGACAGTCGTTCAGGATGAGAGGATGGCAAAGTACTGAATGAGCTGGTGGCATATACAGTGTGGATACGCTGGAGGTTCACATCCCAGGAGGGGCAGAGCAAGATGGCGCAAAGTACTATCATGTGCTTGGTATGGGGGACACAGTTAAAAAACTGGGAATCGTTTATCTCTGGAATTTTCTCTTTAATAATTTCAGACCATTGTTGACTTCAGGTAGCCAAAACTATAGAAAGTAAAACTAGATGTGGGAAAATTGCAGTTCTTAACCACCCCAACCCCCATGTTCACGAGTCCCTGATAGCCTTCTTAGCAATGTAATTTAATTGTCTTTCCCATTCAGGTGTGACTTAGCAGAAAGCAAGGGTCTTATTAGTCCTCAGAAGTTAGTATGGTGATTGGTTCACAGCGGATGATGGGTGGATAATGGATAACTGCAAAACATAGACAGGGACGGTGAAAATTATTTATCCAATACAATGCTAAGTAGACTAACCCAGGATGCAGTGCAAATACTTATTCTGTGGGTTGGAAAGAGATATGATCTCTTTATACAGTGCCAAAGGAGGATGCTGCTGAGGGAGTAAAGTTAAAAGCAAAACCAAACAAAAATCAATTGCATGGTGGTGGTGGAGAAGGCAGCTAGCATTCTCAGATCTGAGAATTTGGAAGGCCTTCGATGAGGTGGAAAAACTCCATGAGGCCCAAAGAGAAGGTCACAGAGCATTCAGAAGTCATGTGCTAGGTCCTCCTAGAGCTGCGGATTCATGGGGTGGTACTATAATCAGATTTCCTACAACTTTGAACATTAGACTCACTAGTTGGAATGTTATTATTATAAAGCCCAGGGAAGCCACTGAAAGATTTTTTTAGCAGGCTGGATGCCCAGGACAAGAGTACTGTAAAAAAATGAATCTGGCCTTAACGTACATTTTTCTAGTGTGAATGGCTCAGGCGAGATGCCTCCAAAGATGACCAGTCCATCAGTGGAGCAAAACCAGCTGGAGTAAATTCAGGTGGGAAGTTCTCAGGGTGGCTCAGTGTGACGTGAAAGTCCTTACCTGTGCGCCACCAACCAGACTAGCATCTCTTTTCTCATTGTAACAGGCAGTGCAGCTCATTAGTTTGTAAATAGCCAGCAAGCAAGGGGCAGGGCCTAAAATGGAACTGGGCTCCTCAGCCTTGTGAAGACAGCAACATGTCACTGACTTAAGCATTGACTCAAGCTGTAGAGAGAGTTAAGCTCAAGCGATGGAAAGACAGATGCAGGAAAGATGATAAAAATTAGGATGAAGGCAAGTGGTTATGCAGAATGGAATGCACCAACTTAGTTAGCAACCCCTTCCTACACCCAGGCTGGGAGCTGGTTTTGATGAATTTAAAGACCCTGAATAGATTTTTCTTTTGAATTCTTGATTAGAAAGCTTGAGTCTTAGTTATTTTAAACCCATGAGACCCTCCTGTGATAGGTGACCCTGAATAAATTTCACCCCAAACTGTGAGCTACCTTTCTTCTTATACTTCCATAATCACTCCTCTTATTTATTTATTTATTCATTTATTTATTTATTTATTTATTTATGTTTTTAGTACAGGGTCTACAGGATCTCACTATGTAGACTGGACTTGTAGTGATCCTCCTGTGTTCAACTTCCCAAGGTCTGGGATTACAGTTGAGTGCCACCACGCTTAGTCTCAATTGCCATCTCAGGGCACCCCAGGGGGGCAGGGATTGAACCCTGGCCACTGTGTCTGCCTAAGCAGGTGCTTTAATCCACTAAGCTATTTGGCAGGCCCACATTTTTTTTATATTTTATTTTTTTTCCAAAGTTTTATTGATAAACAGATAGCAATGAGACAGTTTCAAATCAAATCGGAAGTACAGTTTCAACAAATAATACACTGCATATATTCTTCTTAGTGGTTAATTGCTGTACAAGAAGTGGACTTGTGATCCTATTTACAAACACCATTAGAACAAATCATTCTATTCATTAAGAGAATGCAGCTATCTATCTATCCTAACCACTTTGAATACACAGATACAAAATGGACATTCATCTGTATACCCCATTTTTCCTAAGTTCCGTTATTAAATATTATAGGTGTGTAAACTCAGCAAAATATTCTAAAAGAGTCCAGTAGCCCATAATAGCATTGGGTCTTCTGTTTAACTGGCAATGTCAGAAATTATTGACCTGAGTCCCCCACAGCTCAACATAACAACATGGCTTTATTTCCTATATTTCATCTTCATACTTTTCTACTGGATGGTTAAGACCAAGGTAAAGCAGGACCTATGCAACAAGCGTTGTAGCTTTTTGGTCTGAGAAGGTCAGTGAAATTTGGCAGGCCCTCATAATCACTCCTCTTAACTGCTTCTTTGTCCAGGATTTCATTCTTTGACTGTGAGACAGCAGCCTGATTTGCATGGTGTCATCCTCCTCTAAAAATGACCAGCCTACCATAGGAGGAAAACTACATTTCTTCTAAGAAAGATTGCATCAGGCAGGTAGGGTCAAACTTTGGAAAACCTCAAACTGTTGCTGTGCCTACTAACGGTCAATTTTCATGTTTTTGAGGGCAATATTAGCACAGGCAAACTAATAGGATATGTATGCTCGAAGAGACTCAGGGCTTTGACTTCATCTTGAACTCTATCTGCAAAATGTAGAGGTTGGATTCCTTCCATCCTTGGAATTCTGTTTATAAGCTTGGCATGGCCTTCAGGGAATTTAAAAACCAATTAAAGTGGGAAGATGAACATTAAAAAATGAAATCTGTGCCAGACAGTATTCAAAGCTTGATCTGTAAAAAATAACACTCTGTTGAAACAGATGAACTTCATCTTCTATATTAGTTTTGCCAGTTTTCCTTATAGTATGGGCATCTTGGTCTTTCTAATAGAAAGCAGTTGAAGGATAAAGCCAGTGCCAGCCTCTCGGAGAGACATTTTTGCCTGTGGAAAGGTATTCCAATCTGTGAAGCAACATGTTTTCCAAGTGGCTCTACTGAAACTTTTGTAGCCAAGGGGCCCCTGGGATGCAGATGATGGAAGCTACCACTGAGCTACTATGACCTGTCCTTTTTCAGGCAAGCTCAAGATCGCAGAGGTCTTCTGTGCTGGTGAGGCGTCTTCTCCTGCTGAACATGAGTTCTGCTCCCCGTGTCCTCAGGACTTCCCTGCTTTCCCACGGTAGCAGTATACATTGCTAGGCTATGTTTTCCCCTCTGGCCCACTGCCTAGACTAGACTTGTGTGAGTGCAAGGCCAGTGGGTTTCCCATTTAGCTGAAACTGACCAAACATACCAGAGGTCCATGGGTGCCACACATTGACACTTGGTTGCATTTCTCACTTTTCCCTCTCTCTCTCTGACCCACGTGCACAATGCAGTCCGGTCCTTTCTCTCAAGGACTCCCTCATACCACTTGGCACAGCAGCTGCCATGGTATGTCCCCAGCTAGATGTAAAGCCTTGAACACAGGGTTGTGATGTTGGTGCACCAGGGCCCCTCACACACAGCAGCTGTGTTGTAGCCACTAGCTACAAGTGTCAAAAACTTGACTTAAAAAGTAAGGAAGTATCATAGCTCCCCAGTGGAAATTCAGAGGCAAGGTAGGTTTCTGGATCGGTTGACCCCGGAGCTCAATGATGTGGCAGGCCCGCATTCCTGCCTCTCTGTGCTCTGCCAGCCAGCAGTGCCTTGGTCTGGCCGGTTGCTGATAGCCACAGTTCTCCGTCTCCTCATTTAGGTCAAGCAGGAAGGGGAGGAGGATGACTTCCGGTGGCTCTTGTGACAGAAAACACTTTCTCAGAGCCCCTAATAAATCTCTTCTCTCTCACTGATCCAAGTAACATTCCAGACCCTTCTTGAACTAAACACTCAGCAAAGGGAACAGGACATTTTTAGACTAATTGGGGCTATCTCCCGAGTTGAACAAATATCTTCCAACTTTTCTCCTTGACTTTTGTGTGGTACATTTTCAATGTTTACACATAATTAGTTAGAACCTTTAGCAAAAGTAACCTAAAAGGCAAAATGATCCTACTATTTATAAGTACGATACCTTGCTTAGTGAAAAAAATATAAATCTAGTGATCAGAGCCAGAAATAAGACATGTGTTTAGAGTAGCATGAAAAGTATCTCTTTCAAATAGTCACTGGATTTATTTTTTCTTTTTGTGTTTTGGAGGCAGGGTTTCACTATGCAGTTCAGGCTGCTCTTGAACCCACTATGTAGCCCAGGCTGACCTCACACTTGTGGTGATCCTCCTGCCCCCGCCTGCCAAGCACTGGCATGATAGGTATGTGCTACGACACCAGACTACATCTGCTGGCTTTCACATATATGGTAGATTGGTAGAGAAAGATCATAAATCAGGCCAAATCACACACGCATGGATCTCACTTGAGTATCACACTCCCAAACTGACTCTGGGCTCGGTGAGTGGCTTGGCAGGTGACTTGCTGTGACCAGTAGGCCATCAGTGAACAAGACACAGCAGAAGCTGAGATGTCCCTGTGTCTTGGGGCTCAGCCTTCTGAGGAGAAGCCCAGGTGAGCCTGCTGGGGAAAGTGTCTTGATTCCTCCAACTGCTTTGCCACTAGTCAGGGGGAAAGAGGAAGAAAGTACATTAGGCTCATGCCATTTTCCAAAATGGGCTAACGTCTGTTCTCGGAATCTTCCAGAAATATGATTAACCACACTAAGACTTTGTACTTAAGAGGAGTTAAATTTTGTTCCACGGAGGTAAGAACTGAACCTGGAGATGTAGCCTGTGGTACAGCATGTGCTTAGCATACACTATGCCCTGCATCCAATTCCCAGAGCAATAGGACTGATACCTCATGGAACAGGAGACGGGGTGTCACAGACCCTAACCCATGATCTGTCACCCCCCTCAGGTGTGGGTATCCTTCTACCAATGTTCCCTTGCTAACAATGTATGGAACACACTTTCTTCTTATCTCAGGGGCATGTACACTATAACAGCACAGAGTGGGGCTGCTATGATGTCCCCAAGGACAAAAATAGCCGCTGGTCAAAATCTTCTTCTAGGAATACAGCCAAGAAGGCATAAGAAAGACATCTCCATTAATACCATACTTGTCACCCAACAAAAAAATCCTTCCCATTGGTGCCATGAAAACTGCTCTGAGCTAGGAATAGCAACAAGTGCCTATAATCCCTGCACTCTAAGAGACTACAAGTGGAAAGGCCAGCCTGGGCAACTTAGCAACTTGGGAAGACTCTTGTTCAAAATAAGAAGTGAAAAAGAGCTGAGGAGGTAGCGAGTTTCCTGGGGTCAATCAATCCCTGGTGTCAAAAAGCAAACAAAAGATCAGACCCATCTGGTCTTCTCAGGGCTGGGTACCTACCAGCTTTCCCAGCTGTGGTCCATTCCTCATCCCCTTTTTCTTTCTAAGCCTTCACTAGTTTTGCCACCACTTCACCTTTGATTGCCATTATCACTAACCAAGTTCCACATAAAGGCCGTATGATCAGTGTCCCCAACCCCCTAAATCTCAAAATAAAGTGAGAATGAGACCATCGAAAACAATTTATTCTGTATTTGCACTGGAATTCTGTTGGTCAGGTGATGTCCATTTCTTACAGAGCTGTGTCTCTGTGCCCCGCAGCACCTTGGGCATGGGAGGGGCTCCAGCCCTTCCCACACTGGAGTCTACAGCAGCTGCTGGACAGCTGGGTCACTGGCTCAACTGTGGCTCCGGCAGAGGAAGGACCCAACTGCGGACTCGTTCTCATTTTAGCACACAGCACAAAAACAAGAACAACCTATAAGGGAACACATTCCTCAGCCTGTGTTCTGCTTTCTGAACCAAGAGAGTTACTTGGGTGCTCAACTTCCCCATGGACAAGGTATAACTAAAGGGCAACAGTCCTGCTGTGAAACACGGTATTGGGTCTACTGTTGCTGTCCTCAATGAGGTGAGCTGGCCAGTATGTCTGTCCTTTGCTTGACCAGTGGCAGTGACATCAGCATTTGGAGCGTTTTGCACACTACTGTACAGATAGGTGCAGGATCACACACTCAGCCTTGGGAAGGCAAGAGGACATCCGGCCCATTGCCCTCTGGCCAGTTACACTAAGCCTTCCCAGAGGGTCCTTTATCTTCTTGGGAGAAAAACACAGATTGGGTAATACTTCCTCAGATCCATCTAACTTGTGTCAATAAGGCTCATTTTAATGATTACCACAACAGGGATGGGGCTGGTCAATACCCAGAGGTCGCTTATCTATGAGATGAGGCCTTTTAGCAGGGTTACCATACACGTGTGAATAGAGTACTAACACACAGGAAGTGATAAATACTAACCCCAAACTCCAGCTTGGGCATATCACCAAACATATATAGGAAATTTGTGTAGTGATATTGCTAAGTGTGAAAGACACAATTCAAGGACCACCAGATTGCAAAACCTCTATGTTCACTCCTTATTCCTTTCTACATAAGACTTCTTGGGTGTTAATGCCTTTGTACTTAATGGTTTAAGACCTATTGGCTATTCTGTACTGTGAATCAACTAACAGAAGAAAGAGTAGCTTAAGAACAAATTGTGACTTAAAATGGTTATTTATGAATGCACATTAAAGAACATTTGTCATAGTACAACCAGCCAGAGAAAGTCAAATACGGAGGAGCTTCTCAAAGCAAATAAAAAAGTAATGTCCACAAAATTTGACTTTTTGGAAAAGAACTCTGCCAATCTGCTTCCAAATTTGAGTTCATCGAATGCTAAGAGTTAAAAACCATCTAATGCAATTGTGGTTATGTTGATGCTTTTAAGAAAGAAAGAAAACTTCTGTAGCCCCCAAACACCCAGCGCACCTCAAGCTGTGGAACAAGAACACAGTGCTGGATTGAGCAGTTACACGACTGCTCCCGTCCTAACTGAGTTAGGAGGGAACTGCACCTGCCTAGGAGAGCTCCCAGCTCTCTCTCTCAGCACAGAACTACTTTGTGTTCAGCTGGACACCATCTGAACTAACCCACGACAAAGCCCACTAAAGTTCCTCCGTCTCTGGGATTTTCGTGGCCTTCTGGTGTAGAAATTGCAGTGAAAAGGCTGTTGGAGACAGAGGCCTTGATTCTGGAATATGCTCCATTCTGTATTTTTCAATGTATGGCGATGCTACATCCCACACCTGAGAAGCAAGGACACGACAAAGTTGAGATATTGACCACAGTGCTTCTGCATGCTGCTAAACATCAACTTCATCACAAGGCAAAACATCCTCTGCACCTGAGCGGAACCAGGGTGGTTGTTTGCTTGCTTTTATTTTGAGCCATTGACACACGATTTGTGTCAATTGGTTGTTGGCTTCACTAAAGGCTTTAAAATTACAAAGTCCAAGAGTGTTGAAAGCTGCTTTCTCTTCTAAAGCAAGCAAGCAAGCAAGCAATGAAGAGAATCTACAACATTCAGCATGGACCAGATGGACACATGGAAGGATGAGTTAGGGATGGCTGCTAATGGGTATGAGCTGCCTGTGTTTTCCAAAGCAAGTCTTGAATGACAAAAAAGAGGCACTTTATTGGATTTCTCCAAGGCTCTATTTCCACACCACAGGGGCTCTGTGCCTTTGACTCTTGGTTCTCAGGCTGGGTCTCAGCCTCATCAGCATTACCTGGGATCAGGTAGAATCTCAGCACCTGCTCTGGACCTGCTGAATCCCAACCTGCACTTCCACAGGATGGCCAGGAGATTGACATGCAGGTTCAGGTCTGAGAAGTACACCCTCAGATCCTGTCTTGGCCTTTACCTGGGCTCATCAATGTGTTTTCTTTTAAGCATAACATTTTTTTTTTCAAATGAAAGCTCTGTTTTTGGTTTGTAGTTGCTTTTTTTTCTGATTACCATGGATAGCCAAGGGGTCGTTCCTCCTTGATGACCTTAGAAAATGCATTCTTTCCACATCTAGGTTCACATACACTTTTCTCTCACTACAAAATTGGTAGCAGATAATAGGATTTCTCTCTAAGAGTATAAGATGTGCTTAGAAAGGAGAGGTGTGAAGATCAAAGAGGAAAGGGGCAACTGTCCTGGGGGAAATCAAATGATTCTAGAACAATGGTGGGGACTCATGACACCTGTATTGTTCTTCTTTTAAGACAAAAGATATTAATGTGTGAGTTGTGTTTTCTAAACTCAGTATTTAGGTTTAATTGCAGTGTTGGTGCTTTGTGATAAATAACAGGTTTTAGGTTGTAGTTTGGGCACTAGTCTCTAAAGGGCAATATCACAGTTCTAGGCAATATGATATTTACCTAGACTAAAAGGAGAGAGAGAGGGAAAGAGAGGAAGAGAGAGAGAGACAGAGAGAATGAGAGAGAGAGAAACTGGGAGAGAGACACAGAGAGAGACAGACAGAATGAGAGACACAGAGAGGCAGAGAAAGAGACAGAGAGACAGAGACAGAGACAGAGACAGAGAGATTAGTATCAATCAGCTAAGTCTATGGTCGACATAACCAGAGAAAATAAGCAGTAAAGGCATATTTCACTCAGAAAAACAGGGGCAGGGCCGCATCAGAACATGAGATGGGCTCAAAGCCCTTTGGAGGGACAGCCTGGGCTTCACTGTCTACCCAGGGCCATGTGGCCATTGCGCCTTACCTGGTGGTGGGAGTTGTGCTAACATCACTAGAACAGAAAGTTGTTTCATACAAAACAGGACATGTTGGGAAGGCAAGGTCTACAATCTTTTCATCTCAATTTCTCTCCATAAATAGTAGTTCCACAACTCCCTTAAAATTTGTTTCAGATTCTATGCTTTAGATAGTCAATGTTGGGGTGCAACATGGGGCCCGTAAAAGACCATCTGCTGGCTTTGCAGTGCCCTTACCAGTTGTCTCTGTACCTCTATGTTCACTGCCAAGAAATAGCAAGGAAACAATAGAATAAGAATGCTTCTCCAATCCCTTCCACCTTGCTTTCCCATAACAACCAAAACTAAAAAGTAATCTGGAGGCCTGCTTGCCTTCTGCTCGAGGAGCAGCCTGTGTGCGGCCTCAATGTCCGGGGCCATGAAGCGGTCCTTTATCCAGGGCCTAGAGAGAAAGCATATTAACGCATCAGCCAAACATCGAGAACTGCCAAGGTTCACAGTTTGAAATGGTGTAACTCCCAGGGACCTGTTGACTTTACCTTACAACAGAGCGCACCAGGTCATAGACCTTCTCCAGGGGAGTGGTTGTTTTCAGGGGGCGTAGAAACTCTATGCCCTGGCAGGCTGCAAGAAGCTCAATGGCCAGGACTAAAACAAAAAATATCAAGACAATGACTGATTAACATCTGACTTCATGCTTGAGGAACAGAAGCTACCTGAGTTGATTACAAGCCAACTAACAGGTTCTATCTTCTGGTCAAATACAGTTGCCTTGGTATCAATTATCACGTTCGGCCTGTATTTCCAACACCTCTGCTGCATATTTAATGGTGAGAAGGGGAGAACTGTGGCATTTACCTGGACAGATTAGAGGCACCTCGGTTACCTGGCCCTTTGACTATATCTGAAAAATCCATCATTTCCCCTGTTCACATCCTCCACCAAGTTTTGTCAGCAAGATTTGGGTAGGAGAGGAAGTTAGAACAAATGCCCAACACTGACCTGGAGCCCAGCTCCATTAACTAAGTTTTCTTTTCAACAAGATCTTTTATTTCTCAGTTTCCAGATCCACAGGAATGAAGTGTAGGTGCCAGACTAGGAGACTTGAGCTTTCTCTTAATTCCACAGTGGATTATTCAGGATTATTCATTTTGTGCCATTGTGACCTTTCTGTATTAAGTGGAGTTTGTAATTTTCTTCATAAATGGAAAGACAAGAAGTCAAATGTTTTTAGTACTCCATTTGGGTTAATCATCACTTAAATGATCTGATCAACTATAAGCCTCTAAACTACTCTCCTGGCAAAAAAATGGAGTCCAGAGTGGCTTAATTTTGAATTCTGCTTTTTTTTTTTTTTTTTTTTTTTTGTGGCTAGCTCAGCCCACGCTGAGGGTGGGGCTGGAGTAGGATGTGGTGCCAGGGATTGAACTGCGGTCCCTGTGTGCTTTCCTGAGCTTGCCTAAGCAGGTACTTAAGACCACTGAGCTATCTCACTGGTCCCATGCTTCTTTAATAATTCCTCATAATTTAGGCCATATCAAATATAGAGAAATGTAGATTTCAATGAAGTTTTTCAATATTTGAAATTTTTCAGTATTTTCAAAATTTATTGCGAAGTGTGGCACATTTCATACCAGATTTTAGTTTTAAAAAACACCATGTAAAGTTTGTTTTCTGGCAAAACTTTGAGGGTGGGAAGTTATTTATTTCTAGAATGTCAGTTTTAGCAGATTAGGGAGTCTTTATGTTTATTTAATTAATTTATTTATTTTTTGGTGGAACCGGGGATTGAACTCAGGCCCTTGCGCTTGCCAGGGAAGCACTTACTCTACTGAGCCATCTCCCTCAGGCCCAAGAATCTTCAAGTTTAAAGGCTTGAGGTGAGTTTGTGGCACTAGCTCCGGGGCACCCACTGCCTCATTTGCTCACTGTCTGGCTCCTGCAAACCTCTGACGAAGGTCTTTGGTGAAGGTCTTTGTGCCAGGCCTTTCTAGTCAAGTGAAGAACATGACTAAAATCAGCTGAAAATTTACAGGAAGGTAGAAATCCAGGTGATCGTTTTGATCAAAGAAATAAGAGTGGAGAGTTATTGGGTAAGAGAGTGATCTTTTTTCATTTAAAGCTACTTTGATGGTTGGAATAAATAATGGCATAATGCCAAGTGAACAACTTCATTGCCTAACCCCAGCTTCATGGGAATTACAAAGATCTGACTCAGTCCCACATCCTCAACTCACAAGGTTTCACTCTGAGAGAATTTTCGTGAGAGCACATGCACAGCAATCCTGCAAACGGGGTCATGAAACAGCCTGTTGGCTTACTTTGTGTCATTGCAGGGAGTGGTTCAGACAGCAACCTGAACCAACATGTAGGGTTAAAACCCAGCACTGGTATTGAAGGGAGTATGACTCTGGATCCTTTACTTAACTTCTGCTTTGGTTTCCTGATCTGTACCATGACAGTAGTACCCGCCTCTTAGGGTTGTTGTTCACACCAAATGGGTTACAAGACTGAATGCCCAGAGTGAACACTCGGGAAGTATTAATGATGGGGTACTGCCTCAGAAGAAGGGCTGTCTCGTGGATAACACCAGAACAGAAAAAAACTGGGGAGTAAATATTCACCAGAGAAATGTAAAACATATCAGCAAAACCAGTCAGCACTTCTGCAACACTTCGCTATCCAGCAGTTCTCCCCAGAATCATCAACTAGAACATAAAAGCTGAGCCCTTCTTTGGTAACATGCAAAGGGGCTCAGTGTATCTTGATTTAGCTAGATGCTGCTTATACACTTCTTGTTTGTTTTGAATTTTTATACTATTTTTTTCTTTTTGTACTCAAAATCAAACTCAGGACTTTGTGCTTGTCGGACAGGCACTGCACCCTTGTACTATATCCTTGGACCTTCATTTATTTTGAAATAAACACATATCCTGGGGCCTAATAAGCACCTTCAAACCTCAAAAAAAAAATTTAAGTACTGAATATATCTGAAGAATCATGGAAATATCTTCTAGTTTCGTAGATTGTTTTCTTCATCTTAACAGAGTACACGTTACATGAATTAAATCTACCCTGAGCAAATAAATAACAGTACTAATTAGATATATGGCAAATATATTCTAGAGGATTTAAAGTTTGAACTCTGTTCATGGATCTGTCTCTGAGGCTAATTCATACCTGTGTTCTTGTCATTAGGAAAAGACTGCTTCTACAGTCCTCGTATCCCCTCCCTCCAAATTGCCTACTACCTGAGCTCATACATCCATTCCCTTTGAAGAAGTTCACCTCCTTCTTCCAGTCAGTTGTGGCATTTTAAGTCCTTCTCTTATCAGGGCAAATGGTGTCAGGGATCGAAGTGAGGACCTTGTGCTTGCCAGGCAGACACTTAAGCCGCTATCACCCCAGCCCAGGGTTCTCCTTTCTTATCTCTAGTAGCTTTCAGCTACCTTAACAGAGAGCATTGACCTTCATCATTACCCCAGTTCTTTCCTGAGCTTAGCATCTGTACCTGAATATCCTATAATTCTTACCATCTCAATGCATTCAAAACCAATTTATTTTATGCATATACTCTTCCTTTCCCTTGCCTAAGGAGTTCCGTACACACACACACACACACACACACACACACACAACTAATTAGCCCTATGTGTTGCTCACATCTTAATCTTTTTTTTTTTTTTTTTTTTTTGGCAGAATCGGGGATTGAACTCAGTCCCTTGCGCTTGCCAAGGAAGCACTTATTCCATTGAGCCATCTCCCCAGGCCCTCACGCCTTAATCTTAAATATTCCTTTGGAATTGATTTTTCTGCTCCCTTTATACTAGATCTAGTTTAGTTCTTTACACTACATCAGATTAAGTTATATAAACCCTTCAACCCTGTTCTTCAGTTAGAATTTTCACAAGGTTTAAAAGCTTGCCAAGCTGGTATCTACTGGTTGTCTCTTTTTGTAAACTTTAATTTCCAAGAGGGCGGAAGGCAAGTGAACTCACTGTTTAATTCACGGGTGGTGGTGGCGGCCTGGACGCCCGACCAGGTGGGAAGCGCTTTCTGTGCTCCCACACTAGTTTCCTGGGAAAGGATCAATCACTAGGCACTGTGATAAGCAGATTTTTATCTTATACTTTATATTTTGTGCTACTGGACTCCAAGAGTTAAAGGTGATTGCTAAAATTCTGTAATCAAAATAAACTTAAGTGATGAACAGCCTCGTAACACAAGTTGCTAGTTTTGTTTTCTTTTTGCCAGGCAAACTTTCCTGATATAAGTGGAAGAAGGAGGGGATAAAAGCTGATAAGGTAGATCCCTACAGTTGGGACTTAGAGCCATGCAAATATTTAAATGCCGAGTCTGTATCAAGCCCTACGCTAGGTGCTCCCGGGTCTTGTAGGGATGTGACTATGACAGACATTTTCTTCATCTTAACAGAGTACAAGTTACATGAATCAAATCTATCCTGAGCAAATAAATAACAGTACTACTTAGATATATGGCAAATGTATTCTCAAGGATTTAAAATTTGAACTCCATTCATGTATCTATCTCTAAGGCTAATTCATACCTGTGTTCTTGTCATTAGGCAAAGACTGCTTCTACTGTCCTTGCATTCCCTTCCCTCCAAGATACCTGCCACCTGAACTCATGCATCTGTTCCCTTTGAAGAAGGGAAACTTCAGTACTTGGAAAGCTTGCGCTTCACTGTGAGAGACAAAGAAGCCCAAGTGACCCACAGGTACTGAGTGCTATTAGAAAGCACAGTGAAAGGGCAAAGAAGAGGAGCTGGTCCTTTAGCTGGGGCTCTCGCGGAAGGTATAGGAGATGAAGACCAGTCCCACACTGGAGTGAGGCAGGAAATGTGAGAAGTCTCTGGGTCCAGGACTGCAGGCAGATGGTCCAGCAAGGTTCAGAGGTAGCGATGTGCTCTTTGGCAGGTTTGCAAACAACAATGTGATTTCAAGGAAGAGAACAGGGTGGAGCAAGGGGGTCAGGTCATTCCGGGTTTCACAGGGCCTCAGGAAGAGAGGAGGACTTTGCTTTGAGTCCTGGGGAGTAACTGGCAATTTTCAACAAGGGGATTGGTGGGGTCTACATTTTGCTTGCAAAAGCTCTCCTTGTTTTGTTTAGATAGTGACTATAGAGAAACAGTAGTAAAAACAAGATTAATCAGGAGATGATAGGATTGAGTAGGTGTCTTTGGAAGATGGCCTGGGCAGAGGAGACAAGGACAGATAAGGGCAATCTTCAAGGTTTTGGTCAGGGTGACATGTCCCATGGGGGAATCATCTGAAGAACGAACATGTACAACACATTGTCGATGCTAACAAGTGCTGGTGATGGTGTTGAGCAATCGACTCCCTGGAACAGGGCTTGTGGGAAGGCAACAGGACGTGGCTACTTGGAAAACACGTCTGGCAGTTTCTTAAAAAGACAAATGCAGAGCCATTGTATGACACATCAGTTCTACCCTAGAGAAGTGAAGCCCTGTGTCCACATGTCAATCCGTACACGGTCACCACAGCATTACTTATATCAGCTAAAAGGTGGACGCAACCGAGTACTCTGAAAGTGATGAAAGGATACATAAAATGTGGTTGATGCCCACAAAAGAACGACTTTGGTCATCATGGAGGAAGAAGCACTGACTTATGCTGCAGTAGGAGTGAACCTTGGAAACATCATGCTAGTTGAACGGAGCTCATCACACAAGGTGACATGTCGCCCAGCTTCGCTGATGTGAAATGGCCCAAGCGGGCATAATCACAGAGACAGAAAGTATATTAGTGGTTGCCCAGCACTGGGAGAACAGAAAGAATGGGAATGCGAGGCTTACGGCTCTTTGGAGGCCATGAAAATGTCCTATAATTGACTGTGGTGTTGGTCACTATAGCCCGGTGACTATACTAACACCCTTGAACTGAACACTTTTTTTAGAAGAAAAAAAATGTAATGAACAGTTTCAAAGCAGGTTAGCAGGACACTTGTGATAGTTAATACACTGCATATTGTTGTCTTCTTAGTAGTCATTCAGAGTACAAGATATAGGCATGACATCCTGTCCAAACAATGTTGGCATGAACACATCATTCCAATGAACTAAGAAAAACTAGCTGTGTAACTATCTTAACTATCTTGTGTATAAATATATTTTTTCTTTTTTTCTTTCTTCCTTTTCCACATCACAGTTTGTCTTTTCTTTTGAACAGTTTCTCCCCAATTCATAGTATCTATTGAATAAACGGTACTCTTTAAATGGATGGCTGGTAAGATGTATGAATTCTCTATGTTAGGCCTGGGGAGACAGCTCAGTGGCATAAGTGCCTGACTGAATTCTCTATGTTCAAACAGCTGAAGCCAAAAGAATACTCACTTGTTATGTTTATATTCAAACAGCGATACTCTTGTTATCAACAGTATTTATGCAATGTTGCTTCATAAACTTAAGAATTTAGAGGATGTCTCAAGGAAGGTGATTTTCATGAAAAAACAAATTGCACCTAAGGCAGAGAGGGAGTGGTCTCATGTACCTCTCCTTGTGATGCACACTTGTCAAACAGGTTGGACCTAAATGTTATTAAATGTTTATGGTAGCTGGGTCTGGTGAAATATGCCTATAATAATAAACTTAGGATTTGGGAGGAGAAGGTGGGAGGATTGCTACAAATTCAAGGCTAGCCTGGGCTGCATAGTGAGTTCAAGGCCAGCCTGAACAATATATGCAGTAAGACCCTATCTCAAAACAAGTAAAATAGAAATCCTCAGGGTCAATTGCCTGAGACAAAGAACAAGGTAAACATGACACCTCAGGGAAGCTAACAGGTAAGTCCAGGGCATCAGTCTTGCTGCAGGAAAACTAACCTGCTTTTCAATCTGTCAAAAGCATGAGAGAAAACAAGAAGCAAAATAAAACAAGACAAAACAACAACAGCAACAACAAGAACAACAACAATGAAAATAGACAATGGACTACCCTAGATCCAAAGAAACTCAAAAGCATGACAACCAAATTTAAAACAGCTGGCTGAGTTCTGATTTCAACAAATCCACCATAAAGATACTGCGATTCTGTAACTAGAAATTCGAATACAAATTTGGTGTAAGACCAGACATGTTGCTGAATTTTGTTGGATATGGTAGTGGCTTCCTTGGTATAAAAGAAAGCATTCATATTTAAGACAGAAAGTTCATAGGAATAAAAATGATAGCACACTAGGATTTGCTTGAAAATAACTTGCTCCCAGGTCATGGGGATGCTGCCCTTGGGGTCGCCCCTTTGGGAGCCACCAGCTCTGTCACCCAGACTTGCCAGTCAGCCTTACCATGCTCCACATGCTCGATGACCCTGAGGGCCTTCCTGGCTGCCCACCCGCCCATGGAGACGTGGTCCTCCGTGGCAGCGCTGGTGGAGAGTGAGTCCACAGACGAGGGGTGGCACAGGGCCTTGCTCTCAGAAACTGCAAGAGAGCAGAGCTAGTTAAGAAGCCCTCCTGTGAAGATGAACTGCCCAAGTGTCATGCGGCTTCCTGTTGTCAATGCAGAAGCCAGGGGTGGTGGTGTGTGTAGTAATCCCTGCACTCGGAGGACCGCAAGTTCAAGCCCAGCCTGGGCAACTTAGTGACTTGGTGAGACAAAGCCTCAAAATTATAAATAAATAAATAAATAAATAAATAAATAGCTGACTAAGAATGTAGCTCAGTGCAAAGGTTTTGGGTTCAACCCTCACTTGTTAGAGAGAGAGAGAGAGAGAGAGAGAGAGAGAGAGAGAGAGAGAGAAAGGAAGAAGGAAAGGAAGGAAAGGAAGGAAGGAAGGAAGGAAGGAAGGAAGGAAGGAAGGAAGGAAGGAAGGATAGGTCAACGTGAAAGAAGTGGGGGTACAGAGTTCACGTAACCAGAGACATCCTTGGGAGGTGAGGGGACTCCTACTCTAGCACCTCCAAACTTGATTGTGGGTATCAATGTTTCAGGGGTCTTGTTAGCTTGACAGTGACAGCACTCTGTGGTCTCAGGACTACTCTACCAAGAACCTTCCCTCCACAGCTGCGGAAGTCATAAGAGGTCAAACTCAAACACATTTCTTGTCCTGCCTCATCCTGCCGAGTACTGGGATTATAGGCATTGTGTGAGTGCTGGGATTACAGGCATGCACCACCACGTAGGGCAGTCCCAATGCTTTGTATGCACTAATCCATTTAATCCTAAAAACAGCTCCACCACATAGACTTATCATCCTCATCTTACTTAGGGGTAAACTGAGGAACCGTAGCATTAAAAGACTTGATGTGAGCCCGCTAGTCAAGAGCGCTGGGATTCAAATCCAGCCTCAGTGTTCCGAATCAACCACCTTCTGGGTTAATTCTTGCCTTTTGGGGAAGGATTATTAGAGCAAATATAGGATAAATTAAGTTTGGATTTCACACAAAACCCAAATGATCGTTGAGAATAAGTCCCAAACGATTCAAACTTAACTGGCTGTCCCATCTTTTTGTTCAATGTGGCAGCCATATTGTAGGATTAAATATTGCTTAACATGAGATCTTCATTCACTGGCGTGAGGCCAGGCTTTGGGAGCTACAGTGCCAGAGCCTGAAGTCCCCTTTGCATTTGCTTGGCTGTGCAGCACTGGCCACATCAGCTGACTTTGCAGATCTCTAGATGTTTGTTCCCAAAATGGAAATATTAACAGCTTGGCTACAAGTGAGACCCTGGCACTTGCTTTGTGCCAGGCCTGCTCCACTGAGCTCCTTGTACCTGGCCCTTACACTGTGCAGTAAGAACCCAGCTATACTGAGGTTTAACTTGCCAAGAGGGCCTGTTGCTTCTTGCAGGCATTTTGTACGGTGCATTTATGTCTTTCTCTATGAGGGGGTTGGGATAGCTGACACAAAGTATCTAGAGTTTAACCATTCAGGCTGGCTTAAGATTCACTGTTAAGTATAAGCATCTTTGTCTTTTCTCCTTTGGATGGTTGTCAAATTAAGTTTGGAAAAAACAAAACAAAACACAACTGGAACAGTGAAGCGATGCCCGGTTGCTTTCCACAAAGCAATCGTCCGTTTACATTCTCATTATCAGATTGTGTTTCCGAGTGTAACAATTTATATATTTCTTTTCTAAATCGTGCTAAAGGAGCCGCTCTGCTACATTCATTCTAAGTGAGGATGGAAATAAAAGTGGTAAAGACGAGATCTCATTCAAAGGCAGGATTGGATGCTTCCATCCCGGGCCTCTCAGGTGGGCAGCCTGAGCTCAGGGCCGGCAGCGGCTTACCCAGGGCGGCGGCGGTGCAGTGCGCAATCATGAACCCGGAGTTGAGCCCGCCCTCGGCCACCAGGAAGGCGGGCAGCTCGCTGAGCGAGGGATTACAGAGCCTTTCAATTCTTCTTTCGCTAATCGCGGCAAGTTCATGGACGCCAATGGCCAAATAGTCCAGGGCCTGCAAGAACGCCTCGATTCGGTCAGTTTATATAGGAACATGGGTTCCGGGCCAGGAGCAAATTTTGAAAGCTTACTTTGGCTGGGTATTCACCGTGGAAGTTTCCTCCAGAAATTGTCTCTCCCCTGCTGGCAAAGACCATCTTTCAAAACAGGTTAAGGCTGAACGTAACACTTGTGGATGACGTCAAATGTAACCCAATCCCACCCACTTATGCTTAACATTGGAATGGCGTCTTTGTGCAGATATGGGGTAAAAGGAAAGAGATGCGTTTTCTTACCAGAGTGTTGATATGAAGGAGTACAAAAGCAAAACAATTACAAAAACACATCTAAGGTAAACAATGTATACCCATCTGGGGCCAAAGACACAGGAGCATAAATGGTGCCTTCTCTTGAGATTAAAGCTTCTCAGGCGATGTAACTGTGCTAGCCTTGTGGTTAATCTCTGCACTCAGAAAGTTTATAAGATGAAACTAAGAACAGGAAACAAGCTGCCTGTTTGAGAACAAATTCTATTTCTGCAGCAGGACAGAGAGCTTATGCTCCAGAGAAGAGTCCCTTGAGGGGAAGACTGCCGGTGAGGAATCTCTGAAATGTCTGAAGCAGGCAGTGCTGCGATATTTTCCAAACTTTGTACCCGGTGATCCTGCACCAGCCTTCACCAACAGATGGCTGTTGATGGTCCCCACAAATCCATTTAAACAGGAGGCAGATTCAGACTCACTAAATAGTCTTGCTCTCAGAGATAAAGCCAATCTACGATACTTTCCTAAAACCAGCAGGCTTTAGGGAGATACTGTAGCAGACCTTTCATTCTGGTCCTAAAAAGCCATTTTTGCTCACTGGGCTAAAGAATATAGTTGGCCCTCCACACCAAAAGGTTTGGTATCTGTGGATTCAACCAGTCTCAGGTTGAAACATAACTGCTATGGCCATCATATTTGTATTACATTGGGTATGAGAAGTAATCTAGAGATGACTTAAAATATATGGGGGATCTGTGTGGGTTGTCTGGGAGTATGGTACCCCTTGATATAAAGGACTTGAGCACTGGCAGATCTTGGTTATCCTCAGAGGGGTCCAGGGCCCGTGCTCCTACATACACAGAGGGACCCCTGTTCCCTAGCGACTGACCTGGAGCTCACTGTGTGAGAGAAAGGTTCGGATTTTCAGCGTTAGAGATGCGTGTATTACGTCAGCTTGGGAAGTTTGGAGAGACTCCTTCTGCACATAGAACATGGTCCATTAGGTGTGCCACTTACTCTTGTCCTGGAGCCTGCCCCAACCACAGGCCTGCTCTTCCCTCTAGGCTCTGACTCTGTGTAGCAATTACTCTCTGCACCAATTCTCTTGTCACTTTGGTATTCCATGTCTATTTGCTACTAAATTATAGCAATAGAACATTAACTCTTACAACAGCCAACATGACATAATAGGTGCTTTGCATGTGCAACATGCAACTGGGCAACATATTTGCTTAGATAAAGATCAGTACTGTAGGAGACTCTCAACTATTAGGTTATTGCAAGTTCATCTAGTTAAGAAACTTTTATGAGAAACTAAAGGACTCCTGGCTACAATTCTTGCTGAGGTAAGTGGTAGTAGAAAAATTTGATAGGGATTTATCCCAGTCTCTGATATCCCAGTCACCTAGAGATTTTTTTTTAATTCTATAACATATTCTTTAAGGTTGAAGTTATGTAAGTGGATAATAGACACCACTCCCTCACCATGTAAGAATGGATACCTGAAATGAGATTATGTAACTTTTGTGAAAACTACTAGTCTTCTGGTGTTGAGAGAGCCACAGTCCTGTAGACTACTTAACATGTGTTTGGATCAGCAGTGAAGCAATCTGAGCGACACAAAACACCTCTAAGGTATTCCTGTCAGGAAAGGCGACACAGATATTGCGCAACCCCTGTTAATCTGTGCTGTACTAACTCAGCACTTTCTCCAACAGTAAGAACCAAGGCAGATGTGGAAAAGGAAAAATAGATTCCTAAGAGATTCGGCTACCTTCAAAGGCAGCGTTTTCCCCTTGAAGTCTGTTCCCTGCCTGATCACCTGCCCTGTAGAGAACTAAACTAGCAGAAAAACCACATGGCTCTGGGGCAAGAGACCCACTAAGGAGAAGAGAACTCCATCCTCAAGAAATGGAAGCATTCGCGTCATTCTTTGGGCAGACATAGGAAGAGTGGGCTTGACTACCATCTGCTTAAAAGTGAAAACTTGGGATGGGAGAAGAATAACTCTCAACACACTTTGTCAGTGTTTGAATGCTGCTTCCTGTTTAGTGCATCTGGCCTCATTAGAACCAGCAAGGCCTGCGCTCAGGAAGCCAACCTACGGGTCTCCAAAATCGTGTTTGTGATGTGGGTCTTCATACTTCATCCTACCACGAATGACCTCAGCAGTGGGCTTTGGGTCCCTTAGCTTCATGACTTAGCTCAGCCAGGAATGGAGTTCTCTCCCTTCATCTCTCATGGGTCAGTTTGGAAAGTACAACATGTTAGACTCAGAATCTGAAAGTAGACTCATTAGGCCTGTGTCTGCCACTTGCCAGCTCTGACTTGGAGAAAGTCACTTAACCCTGAGCCTCAGGGACTTACACATTTACCTATGGCAAGGAGTAATAGAACTGAGATGTTTCACACAGTGATCACATAGGCAGATCCTAAAATTACCAGCTGGAGATCTATAACCGAAGATTAGAGGACATTCAGAGGATACAGGATTATCTGTGGCACTATTCAGTTCTGTGGTAATAATGTCTTTCACAAATGCTATTGTGTCATTCACCACACCATGGACCTAAAATACAACCAAAATAAGACACATGACCAATTTATTCCATTAAGGGTACCAGTATTCTTATAGTATCTTTAGTCTTCCCCTGGAAAGTGCTTTGCAGTTATAACTATGAAAGTTATACTTGGCTCAATTAGAATATGAAGATAACTCTGATAAATCTTTTGAGATTTATAAATAAATTAGAATAAATCAATAAATTAGAATAAATCAATTACGAAACGCATTCACATGAGAGTAATCTACACAGAACAGCATGGCATAGGAGAAAGGATGTCAACTCCAGACACAAAGGGTTAGGGGTAGAAAGAGGGCAAGTTACTTGTTTACAGTTAAAGCAGAAATAGAATCAGAAAACAGGCAATGGAATGGACCTTACAGCTTGGGAGAAGAATCTAAGACAATGCACACAAACTCTCAGATGTGACTCTCAGAGATCATCGGGAGGGTGCTGTCCAAGAGGCTAAGTCAGGAGGGTAAGGTGCTACCTCAGAAGAGGCACCATCCAGAGGTATAGAAGTAAGATCGCCCCCAACTTGAGCCAGGCGCAAGGTCAGCCATGTGCTTTATGATCTTGTCTGCTGTCTGGCTTCTCTCAGAAGTCAAGAAACTTGAGGATCTAGCTCAGTGGCCTTGCATAAGGCACTTAACTCTCAGCCTCGCTTCCCAGGTGCAAAGTGGGATGAAGCCTCTGCCTCGTGGTCGGCTGTCACTCGGAGAATAATAAGGAGGTTGTACACCAGGACATAGTCTTCAATATAGTCAATCTGATGATTCTTTCTCATAGTCTTTTCTTTTCCTGGTCCGGGAGAGGGAAGCCAGGGCCTCACATAAGCTAGGCCAAGGCTCTACCTCTGTGTTACAGTCCCCAGCCTCCTGGGGATATTTTTGATCTGTTGTTTAATCAGCTTGCTAGCAAAGAACGTGCTGAATAGAAGGAAGCGGGGGAGGACTCTGTCACACCCTTGATGTTCCAGAATGTAACACGAGGTGATACTGTTTCTTAAAATGCCTCTTATCAGTCGGCTCATGGAAATAACTCCTACACGAAAGGGGGTTCCCCAGTGCAGGGGAACCAGTAAAACTCGACCCCCTTAGCTGCTGCGCTCAGTGAACACAGTGGGCTGTCCACTGGACTCTGAGAAGAAGTTAATCTGAGAGTTCATAAGGAAACAGTTTAGCATCCAGAGTGGAAAGTTTATAGTTAGAGAAAGCAAGCATGACACACATGATTTTTAATGAAGATAATAAAAAATTTGGCTTCTCCTTGGCCACAGCATGGTTTTCTACCACATTCCTCTTTTTCTGTCTTTCTCCCCTGAACTTGAGGAAAGTGAAGAACCTTTGTTGGCTTTTTGATTTTACCTGGGGACAGCAGCGCAAGGTGTATGCATCCTGAACACGGTCGCAGAACCTGTGACTCTCTGTGGGAGGGGTGGGGAAGACGGGGAGGAGCAAATTAGCACCTCTTCCCACGGACTGCGTAACCAAATTCCCCCACTCACGCAAACGTGTCAGACCTGCTATCTCCGATGGGTGGTGATCCGAGTCCAAAAGTGACCGAAATCGAAAAGCAACCTCGATTTGCCCACGATGGGGCCGAACAGCGTGGATGTCTGGAATGGAGAAAGGGGGAAAGCTCGGAGCAATCCTGACATTGCAATGAACCAATTAAGGTGCTGGCAGCCTCAAAAGTCTCAGGGGTCCTTACCCACCACGCAAAATTAGAAACTTACTTCCAAAATTGAAACAGTCCTTACAGATATTACTCTTTCTACTTTAAATATCTGAGCACAAACTATGCATTGAGCTCACTTGGAATTGGACTCAGTACTCTGAGCCCACCTTTGAAAGAACTGGGTCAATAACAGCAGGGAACTGCAGTAGTGGCCCGAGTTAACTAAGTCACTTTTAGACAGTCCTACTTCTCACCCTAGGAAGACATTCGCTACGTTCTACAGAAGCTACTCCTGTAGTTTTCCTCTCCTAGTTTTCTAATCAAGGCCAATGCTAATCCAGCTCTAGTTTTAATGTCTTGCAAGAAGATTCCTAAAACACTTAGCTTGACACATTGCTCACCATTATCTGGTTCCACTCCCACATGGCACTGCTCCCCTCCCCCTCCCCCCCGGAACCAGGGATTGAACTCAGGCTCTTGTGCTTGCCAGGGAAGCGTTTATTCCATTGAGCCATCTCCTGGGCCCCTTGACACATTGCATAACCTGGGGCAGGTCACTTAACTCTCCAGGTCAGTGTCTATACCATGTGGTCATTAAAAGGACTGAAAATGGCAGAACTTGGAGAAGGCTGTGGTAGTACTGGGTGCCAGGGGAACCTGGGTTTTCTCCATCTGGCAAAACACTGGACCCCACCACTCCAATGTCTAAAGACTTCAACCAACTTGCCCCCCACCCCAAGCTCTGGCTGAATGAGCAGTCGAATGAAGAACCCTGCTGACCAGTATCGAAGGCTTTGGTGGTGCCCTTCAGCACCTCAAGGGTTAGGGCTGCCACGATGTCAGCCTGCCGGGCGATGGCACTGGCTCTCTCGACAGCTTCACAGCCCAGGGACGTGATCATCTGTGTCCCATTGATGAGCGCCAAGCCCTTTGGGGAAGGAGAGAAAATTTCCTAAGTTGATTGTAATAGACCTTCATTCAAGTGGCTTTTATATATTTTGCTTTCGTAAGAGAAACATGAGCTGGTCAGCAAGATTGTTTATCTGTTTTCTGAAGTGCAGGGCAGTGCTGTTTATTTAGACACTTGAGGAATGTGTGCCACCAGATGTGGGCTCATTCACATAAATCTGGCCAACAGAGCGTCTGTAGGGTGACCCCATCTCAAGGCAGCCTTGTAACTCGGGAGCAGGGACTGCAATGCGATGGTTAGCTCTTTATTACGTCACAGTCTTCTTCAGTGTCTCACACCTATGGCTAAGTTATCCAAAAACTATTCTGGTCCAAGCCTTTTGGCTTAGAGCGGCATCTCTCAGAGGGGCTTAGAGAACTAGATTTGAAGTCTAAGTCCCTAAGAGATTTGCCAACACTTGTGGCATGAAGAATCTTTTAGAAGCTCACAAGAGGGCCACTGCTCCAGTGGGCAGCTTTCAACTAACATGTGAGTTGTGTTTCTTGTTAAGGAGCCAGTGAGACTGATATAAAGTCGGAATAGAGTACACACATAAAGACTTGTTGACATGAACAAATTTTCCTTGAATTGCCTTACCTCTTTTGGTTTCAAAACAATTGGTTTCAGATCATGGGCTTGCAGGACCTATAGAGAGATTTAAAGGCATCAAATGAAATGTCAGCCTGTAACTCATTTCTTATGGGATCCAATTAAAGATCTTTAGGTCCCAAAGTCCATTTTGTAAAAGATCTGGTGTGAATGAATTGGTTCTGTTCATGTTTTCTGCTCTAGTCTCTAGTTCTGATTTTAGTCTAAAAGCAAACTTACCTTGGAGATAATTCTTGTATGTAGACAATGGGGGTCTATTGTCTACACAACCAACTTTGGTTTCTAGGTCATTCGCATTATGCTTGTACCTGTTGCGCTGCGGGTTGCAGATGTGGCTGCCCTAGGCTAAGGCTGGGCTCCTCACGCTCTGTCCCTGTGCCCTGCCTCCAGAGCTTGACCTAGAAAGTCCCGTGACTTCATTTCTGCTTGCTCTAAGCACTGGCAGAACCTCCAAGCAGGCTATGGGTGGCAAATCTGTGCAGCACATGCAGTGAAGAGGAGATTGGGAATCTGTGTGCCACATAGACACAGGGTCCTGGAGAAAAGGAGAATACTTTTCTCAGATGAAAGAAGGAAAAGGAATCATTGAGTGAAGGTCCCTCTTGGGATGAAGAAAGGAGTTAAAGCCAGAAAAAGACAGAGCCAGATCTCTTAGGAGATCCATTTCGCAGGAAGATTTGAACACCCTGGCTCTCTCTGGCTGTTGGGCTGAACCTGAGAGTAGGACAAATAGAGCCAGACAAGCTCAGGAGCAATGAGAGTGACAGTGCTGGGTGCTTGAGGTGGTGGAAGAATAGAGGGGACAATCACATGAGCTGCTGGGAGGGCAGGAAATGAGGGCACCAAGGGGCTTGCAGGGAGCTGGAGAAAAGGAACAAGAGAGCAGAGTGGGCAGCTTCCTAGAGGGCTCGTTGGAAGGAGAAACAGGAAACAGGCAGCTGCAGAGGAGAAGAATGTGCCTGTGGGGGCCTCTGCCTAGAATCTGGTGCGTTCCAGCTGCAGGCAACCTCTGGTCTCAGTGAGAGTATGCAGGTAGGAGGGATTAGGGGGTCATGGGTCAAACACGCCTCTGAAGCCACATTAAGTCTAGACTTCATCAGAAGGATAAGGGCAAGCATTACAGATTTAACCAAAACACGGCTGGATTGGCTGTTTAGGAAGGTCAGGCTGGAGGCTTTGTGAAGGTGGTTGGGGAAATGCTATCCATAGAGAATTAATCAAGAAGAGGCAGCACAGAAGGAAAATGATATAGAACCCATGTCCCCTTGGGGAATAATCTAGTTCCTTAATCTGTTCATCCTCCTTGGCCCTCTGCCCCCTTTACTCATTGCTACATAGCCTCCCAGGAATGGATTGGAAATAACTTTTAAAATGATGCCTTTTTGGGGGGTGGGGACACTAGAAGCAAATTCAGGACCTTGTGCTTGCCAGGCAAGCACTGTAAAGTGATGCTTTGGGCTGCTCTGTTAGAAGTTGGGGACAGATAAAGAAAGCAATAAGGCTTTATAAAAAGCAGTCTTTTCTGATTATTTTCCAAGGAGGAAGCTTGTGGAAGAATGGAACCTGCTTTCCAGAGTATGTGGAAGAACTATTCTCCACAGCCCCGTGCCAGTGAGACCAACCCCTACATACGATTGTGACAAGGTGTGACAGTTGGGACCAGTGGACACTGCAGGTGCTGCGGGTGCAGAATCTCTTCAGTAGCACTAGTAGCTGTATCGTCTCACTGCTGTGGCCTCCAAATCTAGGCCACTGACTGTCAAGGAAGGGAACTCCCTGACCTAGTTTGGCTCCCAAGGCGGAGTCATCTCATCTCTCACATAAGAGAGACATACTCACTGGCGTACTCACTGGGCTGTTGCATAGCTAGAGTGACAGGAAGCATGCGAAAGTACCCGGCGTCCACTGTGGACAGGTGCCCTCATAATGTCTTACGTATTTGGCGTCTGCCCAGCCGCTCTTTGGAGACCACATCTTCCCTTCTCCAATAAGCCCAAGAGCAAGATGAGCGAGTGGGGCAAGATCTCCACTGGCACCAACGGTTCCTTTCTCCGGGACGTAGGACAGGCAGGAGGCTGCGGGAGAAGCAGGCACCTGTGACTTCAAGGGGACTCACTTGGCTCTGGCAATCTTTGTGTCACCAGTGAAGACCGTCCAACCTACGACAAGGATCACTTTATGTCATAAATACGTGTGCAGAGACAGTTCCCCAAGCACACCAAATGCTTCAGGGACCTAGCTGGGCTGCTACAAAAGAGAGGGCCGGGGACGACAAGAGGAGGGAAGGAGAGAAGGAAGGAGGCTATCCCACACCCATAGTGCAAGCACTAATCTGACCGAATAATTCCAGTCTAGAAATTCTAGCCATGTATGTCAAAGACACAATAGGTAGTAGGGGTTAAAAAAAAAGATTTAGGTGTTGTTCATTACAGCCTTGTCTATAAGAATAAAAAGTTAGAAAAAAAAAAGAATAAAAAGTTAGAAATTATCTAAATATGAAATGAAGGGGCACTTGTGTGATCAAATGGTATGTAGCCATCAAAAGCTATTGGAGAATCTTTGGAAACATAAAAATGTCTACTTTACAACATTCACATGACATGTTCTAGAAGGTCAGGGTACCCCAAAGTGTTGACACGGGTTCCTTGGGAAGGTGAAGTCACAGGCAACTTAGTCTCTTTGTATCTGCCAGGCACCCAATCTGCCACCCCTTCACCCCTTATAAGTGAACATGTACTGTTTTGTGAGAACTTCCCCCCAAATTACGGAAATAGGGCTCCACTAGAGATCGAGCACCACACAGCCCTTTGCTGGTTGGCACTGGTACTTATGTGTGACGTGTGTCCCTGGCCCAGGAGCCCGAGCATGAGGCCTGCTCTCCGTGAAGCTCTGCTCCTCCTACACTGACCTCAGTTTGTCCTCAAATGTGAGAGGGACGGGGCTCCCCAAGCATTGCAAATCTAATCCCTCATCACAGGAGGTGCCGCAGTGGTGCACTGCACAAAGCGTGGCCATTACGGTGGCTTCCTGATTCATGAATCATTTACCTTGTTCACATCTCTGCTCCCCTTAGCAAGAGGTTGAATGTCTGTGTGTAAATCTAGTTGGGAGATCACCTGATTTCCAGCTATCCTTGAGGAGACTTCAGATTCCCAGCTATCCTTGGGGATTATTGAAGTGGTCTGTGGGGTGGGGTGGAGGGCATCATCCAAAACTATTATAGTCCCCGCATGATTGGGTGTGACTTCTGCAATCACATGGACACCACTGAATCAGTGTTGTGTCTGGTGCAGACTTAAAGGGCTTATTTCATTTTTTATGAACATTATTTTTTAAGGCAGGGTTTTACTCTACAATACATACTTGCCTTAAGCTTTTGGCCCTCCTCTATTGTCCCCCCAAGTCTACACACTGGAATTACCAGTGTGTGCTGCCTCGCCCAATTTCACTCTACTCTCATAGCTCAGTGAAGGGTGCTGTAGGACGGTTATAATTCCCAGGACTGTTTCTGCCCCCTTTACCCCTCCTCTCTCCCTAGCCGTCCTCTGCCTTTCTGGGCCCATTTTCCACTCATGTTTTCCCAGCCAGCGCTTCAGTATGGCGCCAGTCAAGTCTGCCCTGCAGGACACACACAGCCTCTGTGGAAGTCTGCTCTGGGATTCGTCGCCTTACCATTGAATATTTCAATAACTTGTTGGAGGGTCTCCAGGGAAATGCCACTGTATCCTTTGGCTAAGACATTGATCCTTAGTGCCAAAAGCATCCGACACCTTTCAGGGCTGAACGGCTTCCCAACTCCTACAAAGCAACACTGGCATTTGCTCCAGGAAAACCAAAGCCTTCTCCACTTCCCAGTGGGCTCCATCCCTCAGATCCTTCCCTCTTCAGCACGGGATTCTCCCCACATTCTGCAGCCAGCAGCATGGCTCTCCCACGCTTGTCCTACTTCTCAAAGCATTGGCCTTCCAAGACAGAGCCTCGGTTGGTTCCCTTCCCAGCAACACTTCAGGGATCACCCCCGGCCTCCCCCACCCCTTTAGGAGAGCATCAGCCTTCATGGCATAATCTCTTTCATCTTAGAGGCTGCAGTGTCTAGATAGACTTCTATTGCCTGGCTCATCCTGATTCATTCCCCACATTTCAGTCTTCTCTTGTCTCCTGCATATCCCACCCTGTCTGCAGTTTGGGTCCGTGCTCTCCTCCCAAGTCCAGCCCTCTGCTTGGCTGTGTGCTGTTCTGAGCTTTGGCAGAAAAAAAAAAAACCCTGTGGTCCCACAGTTTCTGCCCCTCCCCTGGTGCAGCACCTGCCCTTGCAGTGTGCCGGGGACAAATTAGCTGTTGCTGGCAGTGGCCGAGGGCTCACCCTGCACTGAGTTTTAGTCATCTAATCCAACATAAGCCAGGAGGCACCCGGTGCTTCTAATGATTTACCTGCAGAGTGGGAGCGAACTAAGTTGACCTGAAGTTCCCTGGAAGAGAAAGGTAAAAACATGCTTAGATTCCTGGAGGCTGAAATCTTTCCTCCCTGGGAGCATGAAGGAAGAACAGATCCTTGGCGGACGCAGTGGAAGAACCCAGCCCGCGTTCACTGTCAGTTTGCATGCGATCTCCCCAAGCCTCTCCCTGTCACCTGTAAACTGAGGCAAATGCCAGTGATTTTCCTGGTTGAAAAAGCAAAATTTCAGACAAGGAAGGTGGAATATGAATGTACATGTCTTTCAAACTTACTGTAGTTTATTGACAGGAATTACAGTTCTGGCAAATTTCCCAAAACCTGTAGTAATGCCATAAACAACTAGAATAAAAAAAGAAAACAACAGTGTACAATTAGATGCAGAAGGGATTTACTTAATTAATTTATTTATTTATTGGTCTGTAAAAAGATTTTTAAGAGGGGCCAGGGAGATGGCTCAGTAGTATAAGCACTTCCCTGGCAAGTGCAAGGGCCTGAGTTCAATCCCTGGTTCCGCAAAAAAAAAAAAAAAAAATTAGAACATAAGGGAAAAGATACCTGTTTTTTCCTCTATGATCTTGTCTATGACTTCCCTGGACTGCCGTACCTTTTGCTCAGCAACTGGAGTGAGCTAGGAAAATGTCAGTCAGAACCAGGCATGTGGAGGACTTCGTGGCCAGCGGAAACATCCACAACTTCTTTGTGCCCTCCCCCATACCTTTATTTTGTAGTGTCCCTTTCCCAAGTTGACCAGGTCTTCCGTGGTCAGGTTGTCCCCATCTAAATCGATATACTGTGCAAAAAGGGATCTCGGTCAGTGTGAACAACCTAATTGCTCTACCATGAAGCAGAATGTCATTTTGATGCTTTGGAGATTTTACTACTGTGATGAGACATTAATGTGCATTTTGAAATTTTCTATCATTGGTTTTAGTGGGGTTTTCCCCTCTTAAAATAAACATTAATGTGCTAATTAAAAAGATAGCTTTCCTGCAGGAAGCTGGGCAGTCCCTTTCCAGGCTGCCTAACCCTGCTGCGCAGAACAATAAAGCCTGCCCAGATGTGTAGTTTTTAAGCCCGTTTTACATCATATTTACATGGCCCACTGTTTCATATTATGTCAGGGACTTGCTTTTCTCAATAAAAAAGGATGTGGCTTGTAGCTTACCTTTTCAGGTTCCCGGTACTTGCTGTATCTGAAGCCAGGTAAAGGAAAATGCTGGGCACTGTGGAACAACCCCAGGTCCCCAGAGGTGACCATTGGGCCCGTAGGAAAGGATACAGGTAAACTCCTTCTGGTTGAGAAGGAATGAAGTCTGGTGACATCACATCGCCTTCTATGACTGAAACAAGAAGC